TTTTAAATATGAAAACATTAACAATATTAGCTATATTTATGATTTATTTAATGGTATATATAGATATATCTAAAATCTTTCATTATTTCTATATCCCTTTCTTAATTTCTACTAATAAATACATAAAACATGAAATGGATAGTTGATATTTTTGCAACAAATAAAACAAAATAAATCAAGTAATGAGTAACTCCCTGTACCATCATCTAAAACCCATTATATATTTTCGGCTCGCCTGCTTCAATTGCCATGAAATTTATGTGCCGTCGCTCAGCGTGAACTTGATGCGCATAAATCCACATGAAACGGATATTAAAAAGCATGAAACGAGCCAATGCCAATGCCAATGCCAATGCCAATCCAATACCCCAAACCCAATACCCAATACCCCTTAAACCCTCCTCCACATCCGTATTGACTATGTATTATATAGCTGATTGACTTGGATCCCTGTTGTTGGCTTTGTTGGCTTAAATTATGAACTTATAAATTGACAGCGGGCATTGGAATGCTCCTTCTCATTTCTAAACTCCTTCTTCTTGTTACCAGAGAAAGGAGGCCAGGAAGTTGGCCAAGAGCAGCAAGAGAGGGAGAGAGAGAAGAAAGGGTTAGCCATGTTTTGGGGGTCTTAACTAGCTTTTTGGGCCAAAAAAAGGAGGGGGCTTTAGGGCCGGGCGGACTTGAAGTCCTTATCCCCCGGCTCAGATAATTGACATTTTGTTTGGCAAACGATAAGCGATTGTTGGTCCTATCAAATGACGACAATGGAGAAGGGGTGTTAAGGATAGCCTAAGTGTACACGAGTATACCAAGGGGTTAAGCCAATGAACTTTAACGTTTGACTTTAAAAATACAACGTATATAACCCCTTGAAATATTAAAGTTTCAAAGGTAATTACATTTTGGTGAAGAGTTAAAAGCTAAATTAACTTTATAAACTACCAACTGCAATTGTCTTCTAAACAAAACTGATCTAAATAGTCATGTCTATATCTTGAAAAAAAAGAAAATATAATTTACAATTTTTAAATGATATTGCAATTTAATTTTAACTTATATAATATTTAATTCTTTACAATACAGAGAAATAGTTAGAGTAATTGGAAATATAAAATAGAAATTTCAAGCCATTTGCTATTATTTTATAATTTCGGTTTTAATTTTATTAGAATCGGCTGACTATATAATAAATATCTGCATTAAAACGATCCTTAATTCCCTCTCTATTTCCCTCTCCCTCTCGGTATGTCCATCTCTCTCTGTGGATCTCTACAGATTTCTTATTCTCCCTACCACTCTCTCTGCCACACTCTAAACTCTTACTCTCTCGCTCTCACTCATTCTGATCTCTTTACTCGCAGAGTATAAATAGAGGCGCAGCCGCCGCACTTGCTTCAGTCTGTCCGTGGCCTTCGAAGTGTTTGCATCTACAGTGATAATTAATAGTGGTACTGATCATGGTAATGGTGATGATCGTGGAAATAATAATAATTGTGCTCTTTAATACCAAACATAACACCTGATCATGGAATGCATCTGGATAACCAGGGAGAAGCTCACTTCGTGTTGGGTAAGTCTAAACCATTACAATTATATAAAGAATATAAGTACTATAGGAATGTAGCATTACTGTCTATGCATTTATTTTCCAATTAATTTCCTGATTGCTTTTACATTTAATTTAAACTGATAATGCAATTTTGTATTTGAGGATACAAACGTTTACTCGGAGTTATAAAAATTATAATTTATATAAAAATTATTATTCTTACCTTTACGATAGTTTCAAAAGTGACATTTTTTTTGCTACATTATTATTACTCTTGCAAGCGTATTATAATTTCAATCACAAGCTTGAAACGCTATGAAGGAGTCATTTCCGACCCTATAAATCAAAAGGATATCAAATTAGGAATATTAAATTTAAATTGAGTTGAAATTCAGAAGGGTTTAAAAATATTTTATTTATTTCTTAATAATACAGAGAAATAGAAATAGAAAATAGAATTTTAAAGCCATTTGGCGTTATTTTTATAATTTCGGTTTTAATATTATTAAAATCGATCGACTATATAATATAGCTGCCTTGGAAATAAACCTTAATTCCCTCTCCCTCTCGGTATGTCCATCTCTCTCTGTGGATAGCAACAGATTTCTTATACTCCCTACCACTCTCTGCCACACTCTAAACTCTTACTCTCTCGCTCTCACTCATTCTGATCTCTCTACTCGCAGAGTATAAATAGAGGCGCAGCAGCCGCACTTGCTTCAGTCTGTCCGTGGCCTTCGAAGTGTTTACATCTACAGTGATAATTAATAGTGGTACTGATCATGGTAATGGTGATGATCGTGGAAATAATAATAATTGTGCTCTTCAATACCAAACATAACACCTGATCATGGAATGCATCTGGACAACCAGGAAGAAGCTCACTTCGTGTGGGGTAAGTCTAAACCATTACAATTATATCAAGAATATAACTACTATAGGAATGTATCTGTACTGGTTATACATAATTTTTTAATTATCTCCCTGATTTCCTTTACACCTCATTACCTCAATATGTTAAAATTGTACAACAAAAAAATTGAAAATTTTTGACTCGTTTTAAATTTTAAGTTGAGTATGCAGATTTATTAACCTAATAGGAACTAACATAGAAAAGCTTTCCGAATTAAAATTAATGCATTTTCGGCTTAGTTATGATATTTTTAAACTTTGATTTGGCGAAAAAATATCCCATATAAATATCAATAGGTTTAGATTTCAAGAATGGGAATTTTTGCATGATTTCTTAAAGTCAGCGACTGCCCAAAAGCTATTTATTCCGATTGGCAATTAAAATCCTATTAATTAATAATTAAATATTTATAAATTGTAGCTAGGATCACACAGTGTGAGGTGTTTGAGTCTAACTAATATTTGTTATTAATTAATCATATTAGTTTATGGATGATAGGTAGCAATAGTTTAGCTTTTTCTTTGATTTTTCATTATTTAAAATAATGATTTATGGATAGAAAAAATTAAAGAGTGCAGAATGTTGTGGAATTCTCTCTGATTTCATATTAAAATATCTAAAGTGTTTATATATTTTTAAAGAATTACCCAATAATCTGCAAAGTGCCTCCGCAATAATCCAACTTATACTTCTCCCGAACCTTTATCTCATAGATATGCAAAGCTAATCAAATTCCCAGCTGCCAAACTGCACTAATCTGCACTTAAACCTTGACCAATCCGTCCAAGAGTCCCAGTCTCAAAAAAAGGGAAGCCAGTAGAAGGCTCCCTCACTAATGGCCTCATAAATATGCAACCAGAGAAGAGACAAGGACCTTCACCTGGGCAATGCCTACAGGATGCTCCCCTGCTTCCCTGCTCCACTGCTCCCCTTTTTGGCCAATTCAATTCAATTCGAGACAAGTCGGGAGCCGGCAGCCGGCTTACTGTCAGATGTATCTGCAAGTGGCAGTTCCATCTCGAAAAGAAGATCCCGGCCTTGACGCCCACTCGACTCGACTCCATAGCCTGCCGCTGGCATATTTGATTTTGTAATTTGCATTTGATAAGCACAAACTCTGGCAGGACTTTGCCTCCACCTCGTCCTCGTCCTTGGTTACAGTTTCAGTCAGTTTTTGGGAGCCTTTGTTTTGTTTTAATTCTATTGAAATGAATTTATCTATGCCAAACCAGAAGCAGCAACCGGGCTCAGCTTGTGTGTGTGTGTGTTTTTCCACAAATTCCATTATTTTTCCTTTTTGCGTATTTTTTGGTTTGTGAAAAGCCACAAAAAAAGATTTTCCATTTAGCATAGATCAACAAAAGAGGTATATTTTGGTTTTGCGTATATATATCATAATATTTTATTTCTCAACTTTCTTTCCTAAAGCAACTAAAGGGAAATAATTCAATATAATATAATATATTCGAAAATGAAATCAAAAAATATATTGCTTAACAATATTCATAATAATAACAAACTGAACTTCAGGATTGCATTTATATCACTTTTATAAATTAAGATTTAACATTAAAAAAAGAGAAATTATCAGGGGGCAAGCATCGTTTGAAAGCGTTTAAAAAAATCAAATATTCCAATTTTATTCAAAATTTTGGCAAAAAACGTTAACTTTGAGTTCGTTCTCTTGTCTTCGGGGTTGATTCACATGGATGAGGAGATAATGGTTAATGGATAATGATAATGGAACGTGAGGGAGGAGGATATACTGGACATTCGTTAGCATAGAACCATATATAGTTTTTGTTTTTCCACTTTTACGACTTTCATTTTATATAGTATATAATAATATTTGTTTTGTATAATATATAAATACGAGTTCGTACGATTAGATTTAGTTTCTTATCAACGAGTAAGTTGTACTTGGGTAGAAGGAGTATAACAAGAAAGGTTAGTTAGGCTTCGGCCAGCCGAAGCTATGAATACCCTTAAAAAGGCTTTATAAATAAAGAATTTCATTAAAAAATAAAATTATGGAACATATATAGAGAGGGAATATTCAATACATTGACAATATTGTAAATAATTACATTTAAAGTATAGAAAAATATCAAAGTTATAGAAAGAATATTGTATTTTGTATTTGTATTTGTATTTTTTGAACAATTTTATTTAAAACATCTTGAAAATTGTTTGTTAACTCTCTCTCTCTCTTCTTCGACTCAGTTTAATAAATAAAACAGAACATCGATTCATATATCGAACTCTTCCCAAAAAATCATTGTTTTCTATCATTCCTAAACAATTTATGATACAATTAATTGATTGATACAGTTAAACGGACATAACACTTAAATTAACATAACTTTAGCACTTTAAGGGTATTCAGTTATATATAATAATTATATATAGATTGGCAAACACATCTTACAACTGCCACGCACTAAAACTTGCACTGTCTCTCGACTCTTTTATGCCTTCCAGCCAATTGAATAATATTTTTTGTGCTGTGCATGTGCCTTCATTTCTTTTGTTTTTTTCTTTTTGTTTCAAAATACAGTTGAACTTCGCATGTTTAACAATTTTGTTTAACTAAGTCTTACAAATTTAGCAAGTTTGTTAGCTTTTCTTTATCTATTAGCTATGGGCTAGAGAGAGGGAAATGTTTTGCTAGCGTGATCTACCATCTTTTCTTTATATTTAAAATGTAAAACAGAGTTCGCTTGAAGTTTAAGAAATATCAAAAAGTGTATATATAAACCATCCAAATATTTAGCTAGTTTATGCTTGCTTTCTTTTGGTTTTTCGATTTTACTGCAACAGAAGTTCAGCTGTATTTGGATGACGGTTTGTATAAGCCTTTGAAAAAGTATAGATTAGCTTTGAGGTGCGATTTTTAAGGTTAATACTTGTGTACACATACATGGGGTATTATATATATATATACATATATATATCGATTAGGGATGCATATAAAAAAAATCCGAAAGGATCAGTAACATGTAGAAATTAATCTTAACTTTAAAGTTTTACAATTTTAAATATAGAAAAACATTGCATATAACGTTAAAATATCGACAATATCGATAATTATTTAAAATTCGTATTTTTTCCAATTAAATTAAGTTTGTATATCAAACAGAAAATGGAATTATCACTTATATTATGCAAATATCAAATAATGCTTTAAATATCAACCTTTTTCAGACATCCCTTATATCGATATATATATAAGAATATGAAGTATACAATTTGCGTTTGTTGTGACGCTACTTTCTAGGCCGCTCTAAGGACCCATCGTGGAGCTGAGCTGATCCGTGTGATCTCTGCAATGAAAGTTCGATGATGGCGATGGGTAATGCATGTAAATGGAGGGTTTTGTTCGTTTCGTTCGTTTTGATCGTTCGGCGCTGCCAACCGCTACTGCCGCACTACGTGCTACGTCCGATTTGCAACCAGGCGAGCAACAACTGCAATGCCGGCTGGAGCAGCACCAGTTTTCAGATATCTGTATTGATATTGATCCGCGTCAGAAACTCGCCGTGCGAATCGGCCACAGCGCGTATGATCTCCAGCAACAGTTCGCGCGACAAACCAGCTATCTTTGGCAGCCTGGCCACCTTGGCAAAATCTTTAACGATCAGCTTAAGGGCATACTCCTTGATGTCATAGATCTTGGTAATGTCCGATGCCTCCAGCGTTTGCAATACATTCTCATATGTAATATTATGCTCCAGTGAGTATTTGCAAAAGGCATGCAATCGATTATTAGCCAAACCATAAAAGCAGGGCGCCTGGAATAGATACAGTGCATCCTGTGGTGGCATTTTCGTTTCGCCATAATAAATGTAGCGAAGCAACGAATGGAATGCCTCCAGTGAGGGGGAAATTTCGCCAATTTGAATCTGTTTAAGCAAGAAATTTTACAATTACAAGGGAAAATATATAATCTAGCAGAAAGAACTCACATTGACGGTATTATCCGGTGGCATGAACGAACGGAACATGCCCTGGAAGTAGGTACAACGTGATGATAACACAGACTTGTGGGCCGGTATCACATGATCCTCCAGTATGAGGCTTATATCGCAGAAATCATTGCCAGTTGACTCCAAAAAGAGGCACAGATCAATCTCCAAAGTGGTTCCTGCATAAAATAAATGTTTAATATATATATTTTCTGTATATATAATTTAAAGAAAGAGCAACTTTACCTATATTGGACTCAAAACTGGTATCCATTACCAGTTTGCTGGGATGCAAACGTTTTCTGATGATTTCCACCAACAGAGGCTTGTCCAAATCGCTAAATTCACTTGACATTACCACCTCGGTGAAGTTTTCCTCTTTGATGATAAACTGCATGCAATGATCCTTGATGATCTTTATGCTGGCGGCGAAAATAAAGAAATATTAGAGGATGGAAATTTAAGATTTAGGGAAGTTTATGGTATAGAAAGTAGAAGTTTAATAGGTTTTCCTTTTTCTAGTTTTAAATAAGCAAGTTATTAGGGTATTCACTCACTTGCTCTTATCCGCATTGTAGAGTGCCTCCAGGACATTAAGCTTATTGATCTTGTAGTCCAAATACTGAATGCAGCCATGGGCCAGCCGCGGCATAGTGAACAAACCCGCCAATTGGTAAATGTCCGTAATGAGTATGATGATGTTCTTGCTATAAGAATCCTTTAGATCAATCCGATCCGTATAGATGTAGTTAAGGATGATATCAAAGGCCTCTGGTGAGGCATGAGCCAGGCGAACCTCTAGCATTGGGCCGCGGTCCCCGCCCGCTCCCGTATTTAAGGCCTGTGCGTCCACCTGTCCCACGCCATACACTTTCTCCATTTGCTGTTGACGCGCCTCCCGGGCGGCCAATATCTTGTTCCTCAAATACTTGGACCGTGCGGCCACAAAGGCAATGTGGGCCAGAATGCGTATCTCCTCTGCGCCCACAATAAACTGAATGTCGCAGAACTGCTTCTCCTGAAAGAACTTGCCGAAATCGTCACGCAACGTGCACTTCGGATAGGAGGAGAACTGGAAGCGATAGGTGTCACCTCGTCGCACGCTATTGTCCACCGTTCCACCGAATATATACATGGCATCACCAATGACGGCCGAGGCATGGAAAACCCGGCCCGAGGGCACATCCGAATTCCGCTCCGGCTGTATAACTGACCACACCTGTGAGTCCAGATCATAGCAATGCAAGTTATTGGGCAGCGTCGAGTCTGCTGATCCCCCAAAGACATACAGGAATCGATCGTGATGGACCATTGTATGGCCATATCTTCGTGATGGTGGTGCTGATGTGGCGCCCCGCAATACGGGCTCATTGGAAATACGACGCCAGGTGCGGGTTTTAAAGTGGAATTCAAACAGGGAATTGGTTATCTGCAGGCCACTTTGTCCAGAGAAAACGTACATGGCATCGCGGGCCACTGCCACGGGGAAATTACAGCAGGTGGGTGGACGATCACCCTGCTGATCCACCTCCTCCCACTGATGGTTCTCACCAGTCAGGTTAAGTGTCCACATATCATTCAGTCGAGCATTGCCATCGTAGCCCGCATAGATCCACATTTTGTTGTCGTAGACAGCTGCCCCGTGGGCAGAACGTGGCACAGGTTGACGTCCCGAGAACTTCCATTCCACCCACATGGCACTCTGGAACTTGTACTCGAACAGATCATTCTTGTTGGTCAGATTCGAGTTGGAGTGTATGTCGCCTGTGTAGCCGCCAAAGATGAACATCGAACTGCCGGCTACAACCGCCGAATGATGGTATCTAGGCGCTGGTGGTGTTCCCGTTGCACAGGCACGGCCCCAGGACTTGTCCTTCACACCAAAGCGAATGAGGTCGTTTAGCATGTTCTTGCCATTGTCGCCGCCAAAGACAAACATGGCATCCTTGTAGGCCACCACTGTGTGTTTGCTTCGTCTGTGAAAAGGTGATTAAAAACATATTATTTATGATTTCTGACACAGGAAAGGAATAAATAATACTTCTGCTAGGCTTCCCTGACCCTAAACTAGGTGGATTTCCCTCAAGAGGCCTTTAAACCTCCTCAGGATTACCTTCTCAACACCACTACTCACTTGGCTCCCACAAATTCGGCGCATTCCAGCATCCGGGTCCATTGGTGTGTTGCTGTGTAGGACGAAAAGTCCACGTTGAGAGCATTGCAGCTATAGCTGCCCGGCGAAGCGGCCTTGCCACTGCCGCTGCCACTGCTGGCATTGCTGGCTGCATCATAGGCCATGCCACAGGATCCCGAAGCGGAACCAGAGGCTGAGCCTGAGCCACCAGTAGCTCCAGTGCAATTACTGCCCGGTGCATGCGAAGAGCCCGCCAGGGGAGCACCACCGCCGCCACCACCACTGGCAGAGCCGCCACGGGTGCTCCTCATAGAACTAGACGTAGACATTCTGAGATTCGAGCGTATGTGCTGGGCGTCCAAACAACCGGCCGTGGAGGCACTCTTCCTTGCCTTATTCCGCTTGCTCGACTTGCTGGAGCTGCGCGAAAAGAAGCCCTCGTGATGTGGGCTGGGCTGAGGGCTGGGATTCGGGTTCTGCTGCTGGGCGGCCGCTACGCAGGCGGGACAATAGAGGACGCCGGCGGGTGTGCTGCCGCCACTGGCGCTGCCGCTGCCTCGATCTCGGTCGCGGTCGCGGTCACGGTCACCACCTCCGCCGCCCACGATACCACCGCTGACGAATCCGCAAACTGCACTCAGGCCGCTTGAAATGGAACTGGATCCCAGGCCGCAACTGGCACGCCCACTACCGCTGGCGCTTCTGCTTCCACTGGCACTTCCACTGGCGCTTCCAGGTCCACTTCCACTGCCACTTGCTCCAGCACCTCCTCCTCCGCCTCCTCCACCACCTCCACCACCACCACCTCCACCACCGACACCGCCTGCGCCACCGCCTCCGCCTGCTCCCGGTCCACCTCCGCCGCCGCCGCCACTTCCTCCTCTTTCCGTGGATGCCACGCCGCCGCTGATCGACTTTAGCATCAATGCATCACACGTCGTCGGGAGGATGCGTTGACTTTAGCATAAATGCATTCCAGCTCAAGTTTATTTTTCTTTATTTTCTTTTGTTAATTCAATTTTCACCAACACACACACACGCGCGAGTTTAGTCAAAGGAATACAGTTGAGTGTGACCAAAGTAAGAGAAACCGTTAAAAGCAGTGGCTCATACAGAAAATATTCACATTTGGCGGAACTAGTTCAAGATATATTTCCATTTGATTGTTTGTTTTAAATTTTATACAAATTCAAGTAAATAATATACATTAGTAACAAAAATGTAAACCATTTGTAAATTTTATAATATGTAATATTTATTAACAAGTCACACTTCTTACCCACTTTTTATTCCTTCGCATTAATTTAAAGAACTAGTTCCCTTGCATCTACAATCGATACCATCTCATCTCTAGTTTGCTTGGGTGTCATATCTAACACAGGCCGCAAGAAAAAAACAAAACAAATAGCGTTTTTGGCATAAAATAAACAAAATTAAGAAAGTAATTGATTAAATTGGTGCTTGAAGTCACTATTTAATCGAAAAAGACAGAGCAGCAAAATGGCCAGCAGTTCTAGAACCACAATTTTGCCGCAATCGAAAGAGGCTCTGCTAAAATCGTACAATGCCCGCCTAAAAGATGATGTTCGCAGCATGCTAGAGAACTTTGAGGGTAAAATATTGGAATTAGAGCTGTCTTTAGTTATTTAATCTAATGTAATTCCTAAACTATAAACCCTTTTTCAGAAATCCTAAAGCTAGCCCGGCGCGAAAGTCACAGCCAAATCTCCAAGACAACACAATGCGAACAGGATGCCCTGGAAATGCAAGTGCGGGCGGCGAATATGGGTAGGTTTATGGTATAAGAGCCGGGAACTTGTTATTAAATATATATACGTTTTTCAGTTCGCGCTGGTGAGTCTTTAATGAAACTAGTGGCCGACCTTAAGCAATACCTCATCCTCAACGATTTCCACTCTGTTAATGAGGCCATCACAAATAACTCGCAACTATTTCGGGCCACGCAAATCGAATGCGACAAGAAGCTAATGAAATTGAGGGACGAAATGGCCATGGATCTGTACGATCTGGAAGAGGAGTACTACACTAGCATATTCAAGTAGCCTAAATGAATATAAAACGAGATGAAAACGTATGCTTAATGGCTGATTTCTGAAAAGGAGCTTTTATATTCGTGATTTTGATGGCAAACAGATTTTTACCGGTAATTCTTTATTTTATATTTTGTACCTATCACTGGCCCGTACGTATTTTGACAAAATTGAGTTATTCACTAAGGCCTCCAAATGAAAGATACACGTCTCAAGCAAGCTTTGTCCCCATAGAAGTTTAGATTAAGGTTTTTTAATATTAAAGTATTTGTTTTCCATTAACTCTTGAGTTCCTCGTCTGTTTCTATCATTTTCAGAGTAAACCCATTTAAAGAAATCATTAAATTCAAAGATGATTCCATCGTTTCAGCTTAATCTAGCTACGAATATATTAAAATTAAGTTTAATGAGAAAACCCACTTGGCCCATAGAGATATGGGAGTGCTTTAAAACCTAAGTAGAATTCTGCAAAACGTAATTCTGCTCAAACTAAAGCCCTATCTACACAAATTCAGGTTAAATCGGTGCACAATATCTGCATGCTATCAACAAACGACCGCCTTATCGGTGGGACATGTTTTTTTGGCACAGATATGGGGAGATATATACAAACATACGAACTTTTAGGGGTCACAATTATAAAATGTTTTTAAGGCAGGTCGGTAATTAACAGAAAATCTGTTGGAACTTCCTGGAAACTTAATATTATTAAAGTTATATGTAAAGCCATCTGAACCTAAGGTTGTGACACCTGGTTTCTTGGTTTTTCAGGGACTTGCGTCGAGGTGATAAGCCAGCCATCGTTGTCTTTTGCAGCACCGATAAAGTTATTATTTATTGAAAGAAAACCCGAAATACTTGAACAATCTTATCCGCTTCTCGGCATGCTAATTTATTGTCGATTAATCCCTGTCGATCCATGCCCGTTTCAAGTGCTCTCTGAAACCTCTTCTTCTCTCCAGGGGGGGTCCAATCCCAAATCCCCAATTGATTTGCTAATCTTCCTTATCGAAACAGAACAGTCTATTAGATAACAACGATTCCAATTCGATTGCAGCTGCACCTGATGGTATAGATGGCCTTCGCCAGGTGACTATTTAGTTTTGTTTCCCAGTGGAATTTTATTGAATAATGATTCGATTGAATGGAACTAAATTTGGCTTTGATAGGAGATTAAATCAGCGAAAGCCACTTGAAGTTGACTAAAAACAATTGCATTTTTTCTGTTGTATAAAAATAACATGATAAGGCAAATATTTATATAAGTCAAGTCCATAGACCTGAAACTACTTCTTTGAAATTTAAATTTTAACCATGTATAATTAATGTATTTTATTGTTTACACTCTTCCCCCACATATAAAAACTTAAATTTAATAAAAAAAATGTTGTATGTCTTAGAAGATAAAGTCTCTTTCCTCCTTCTCATCCAGCAGCGTCAAACTTCGTTCGAATCGTTTAATCTCCTGATACCAACTGGGATCCTTGGCGGCTATTTCTTCGGGTCTGCCGCCCTTGTGTCGATAAAGGAACTCAGCATGTCCTTGTCCTGCCACTCCATTCACCGTACAGGATACAAACTGATTGAAGACCTTTGAATCCCAGTCACCGCCCACATAGCGGACAGCGGATGCCTCCTCCTGGATCTGGACAAGATACTCCTTTTCCTCTGTGCGAACTATAAAGTTCTGATGCTGCGGCGGTGTTCCCTTTTCGCCATAGGAATATAGCTCAAAATTACTCCAAGTCAGCGGTTGATATTTACCCGTAGGAGTGCAGACATAGCCCACCTTCAGGGAGGATAGGAAAAAGGATGGTTGACTGAGATTACCCACCACCATACTGCTGCCATCGTCCAGGAATAGAGCAAAGTAAACATATCGATTGATGGAGCTGAGGCAACGTTCAGTGCCAAAGCCATGATCACGGAAGCCCAGCATTTTCAGTGGAATCTCCTTTCCCTCAAGGTTGAGCTTCCCAGAGAGCTCACCATTCTGTTCATAATGGGTTCGTCGCTCCATGATGTGATTGACACTACGGATCAGGCTGTAGAACCTCTCATTCCAGGCCTCTCTAGCTATGGAATCGGCAATCAAAGAGGAGCTCAAGTCCCGGCTATAATCAAAGTGTTCCGTGGAGGAGCTCTTGAAACGCAAATCCAGGCTCACAGGTAAATCCTGCGTTGTTTTATCTTCATCTCCTTGGCTTCTCACAACACCTTCGTATTTAATCCTCCACACCTTCATGGATTCCTCCTGATATACATGGAAACCTCCGCCCTGGAATTCGCTGCTCTCCTTGCCATCCTCAGTGGTGAAATGGATCATGTCCGGCAGATTCGGCGAGCTAAGTAATCCCCGTTCTGGCAGCCAAAGGTAGAGAGCTGCCTTAAGGACTCCTCGCCTTCGTCGCTCCAAGGTAACCATCAATTTTTGACCCTCCTTATTGGCAGCCATAAAACTGACCACATCGTAGCTTTTGGGATCGGTGCTCAGCTCCTGGGGTCTGTCGATTTTTGCCAAGTGCTCTTCGGAGCCCAATACATCTTCGTTTCTCCTATATATACGATATCGCAGGCGTCGCAGGACTAATAAAGCCAACCCGAACTTAACTCTATAGAATATACCTTTCAAGGGGTATTTGTCGAAGATCAAAGGAGGCTTCAGCCCCAGGAGTTTAAGAACTAAACTAATTAGAGTCCAAAGAATGCCAAAGATCAGGCCGAAGGCTAAAAGGAACACCATGTTTCGAGATCACAGATGGTTCTTTATATATCCTTGTTAGTTGAAATCCTTTAAAGATCTGCAGGAATCTTTGGGGGAGAACTATAAATGTTGTTGACCGCTTGGCCTACTTTACGTGACTGTGGGCCTGCTCCAGATTGTGCTAGGAATATGCTTCTTCGGCTACCGTCGTCGCTTATCAAACCTTCCCCCCTGATAAGCTACCGATAAACCCCTTTTTTTCAACTCCCCCTCGTTTCCGGCTTATCGGCGCAACCAGTTTTGTTAGAGGCTTTACGACGACCACTATATGACTACCTCGTAAATCTGGATCTGTCTGCGATCGCAATTTTCTGATTGATCCATTAGCAAGGTGCGCAATCCATTAGGAATATTCGATAACAATCTGTAGATAGTCGGGTTTGCCGCCGAAGTTATCTTCTGGTTCAAAGTCTGCTGACTACTTTGGGCACAAAGTCTCATAAAGATCTAAAGAACTAGAATATAATTATGGAATAATAAGGGGTAATAGTATTGTGGTAACAGTTCCCCATGAACTTATCTGCAAAGCATTATAATTCCGGGATTTGTAGGCAATAATATACGACTGATAGAGGGTCAGGAGAGATAGTGATTCATGATTTTAAAGGCCATTTGTAAATAGTTTTGAATATACAAAGTGAGAGATTATGATATTTATACTCAATCAAGGTATCTTAGTAAATAACTTCAAACTTTGGCTTTCTAAAGTTGACTTCTTTCTGTATTTCTGTAATATTTATACAACATTTATATATTTTAATGTGAGTAAATTTATTTTGCTTTGATTTAAATCTTATTTTCCAATACAGAAAACGGTATTAAAAAGGTCCTTTGCTTCAAAAGCCTTAACCAACACTGATCCGAAAGCCTGTCGGTTAAGCGCCTGCGTCGAAAAACAACAAGCGCTTAATCAATAAAAACATAAAATTTAGTGCGCAAGGAGCATCGGCAGCAGGAACAGGAACAAAAACAATATTCTCCGCGAAGGACAACAACATTCGCATAGTTTTTCCTGTTTGTAAAGGACGCGCAGAGGAGGAGCTTATTCCATTAATTTAGCATTATAAATCGTAGATAAAAGACGACGACGATAATTAAGCAATTTCCCAATTAGCTTTGCAGCTGCAGAAAAAGCAAAGGTGAGCGAATATTGAGTATTTACCGTTTGTTACCTGTGCGCGACAACAAAACGCACAGGGAAAGTAGAAGGAGCAAAAGAGAGAGAGAGTGAGACAAAAAGTGAGTGAGAGAAAGGTAAAAGCAGCAGCAAAATAAGTGAACCAAACTGCATTTCCAGGAACAACAAAAAACAGGACAACAGGACGCAGTGGAGAGGAATAATTAAAGAGGAAATACAAAAACAACACAACAATAAAGCAGAAGAAAATACATCAAATTAAAGGAGACGTTAAGGAAAATATTGCTTAAAATTGCTGTTCGTTGAAGTTTTAATTTAATTAAGAAGCTTAGAAAACCATCCATGTGATAAACACTAAAAAAAGAAACCAAGAAAGGAACGCAAATTAGACTAAAGAAACTACAGAAAAGAAGGAACTGCAATAAAGAAACGGAGAAGATAATCAGAATAAACAAGAAGCTACACATAAAAGCTACTGAAAAAAGGATAAACCCTAAAAACTACAAAAAGGGAGCGTAATTATCTCCAGTGAAAGATCTTTCACTCAGTTTCTCAGAGAGAGAGAAAGAGAGAAGAATCTGCTTCCGCCATAAGCTTATTTACCGTTAACTTCCTTGATTAATCCTTAACCGTTAGCCATGTATAAAACCATAAGACACGGCGAAAACAGTCTGCAGTACACGATACTGCCACAAAATGATGATTTCCGCATTGAGGGAAAGCTATCCGGTAATGGACGCTCCGCTGGAGGAGCCTCATCCTCATCTTCGTCCGGCACCAAGGTCAAAGGGCAGCGACGTCGCCGTTCCTTCTTCGCCTATCTAGGCCTCATTTTCGTGTGCACCGTGATTATTGGAGCCGTGCTAATACCCTTCCTGGTCTCCGCCGAATGTTTGCCAAATCCCACGGAATGGTTTTTGAAAACTAAGGCAGCACTGATCCACAGCCCACAGAGAGGCGGTGGCGTTGCAGCAGGCGGTGGCGATATAGCAGGTAATCCAACATTGCCCACAGGATCTCCATTGCTGCAGCAGAATGTGGGACGTAATGTGCAGATTGTCAATCGGAATGGCGTGGAGCAGTTTGTGCTTCGTTTGAACAAAACTAATGCCAATTCAATTACTCCAAATACCCTGGCATCATCCACCACCACCACCTCGAGCAGCAGCAGCAGCACCACCACCACCACAACCTCTACAACGAGCACGACAACCACACCAGCTCCAACTACAACCACAACTAGCAGCACCACCACGACAACTACTACCACCACCAAGGAGCCAGTGACCACTCCCCGATACTCGGCACCGGCCACCACCATCACCACGCGCATTATCCAGGTTCCATTGCTGAAATCCGCCGCCAAGAAACCCATTATGCCACCGGTTTTGGCCAAGACCCAAGGAGCTCAATACCAACCCGGCATCGGACAGCAGGATGCCAAGTTGCAGACACAATCAATTCAGGCCGAGGAGCAGACAGCAGCCCAGAATAATCGCAGCAACAGTGCCTGGATCAAGACGCACTGGGCCTACATCGATCCCTCGACCTACTTCCAATGGACCGTAAGTAACACGCAATGGCGTGACTCCTCTAGAGGTTACCCTGCACTCAAGGAGACGAGGGGTTTATGGGAAATATTAGAAGTAACTTTGTAGTATTTGAATACTCTTAAGTAAGTCCTAGTCCGATTCTATGACCCCAGAAACCTCAAGAACCTTCAGAGTAATCAGAAAAATATTTAGGATGCAGCTTTCTAAGATGATTATAAAGTTAATATCTGTGATACGAAGCTATTAACAATTAATAATATCCTGAATTTAAGAATATACTCCTTATAGAAACCTCCTTGACATAGACACTCTTACACATCTTTTTTACTACAGTACCCATTAACCTATGAACCAAATTCGATTCACCTTTCCCCTTGAGTGCCATGGTATCCTTTTTTGGGTCGATTTTCTTTATTAATAAACCACTAAAAATCCGGTCTTATTTTTCGCAGGGTTACAAGGCCGAGGATAGCGTGCTGCTGCCCGCTCTTTTGGGTTTCGCCCTCATCGGTGTGATTCTGATCATAACGGTCTGCTTGGTGGCACGCAACAAGCGCACCATCGTCTCCTCCGTCCGTAAGCGGAACCGTAACGTGAGTACAAAATGCAATTAATTTGCTGGCAAAAAAAAAAAATAAAAAAAAATAATAATAAAAAACCACTCGCCCGGAAGGAGGGTGGCCGCAACGACCTTGAGCCACTTACAGGGTCTCCCTCCCTCCCTACGGGTTGTGGTTTTTATCCATTAAACTAGTCAATTTACATTGCTAATTGTGTTAAACTTAGCTCGCATTTAATTGCTTGCCGTAAAATGATTTTAATATATAATTTGAAAACGGGCTCGCTTTAGTTTCGCGAACCGTGTGTAACGAGTCCATTTAAACGTATTTTTTGTGTTTAAATAACTCAAGTGAAGTGTGTGTTAAGCAAGGAATTAATTAATGTTTCATAAACATTTAATTTGCCAATTTGAAAGTGTTAATTTCAAAATGCGCGCCAACCGTTTGGAACCGTTTTCAATCCTACTAAAAAGTGAACTGGTTCCGTGCCATTTCAAGCTGCGCGCCCAACTGTCACCTGCTGCGCCGCCCTGGCTTTGTCGTGTGTACCAGGGCTGCTCCACTCATCTGGGGAAAGTGTGCCAGAAATCGACAAAAACTTGACTTAAAAAGTGCACAACACTGCGAGGTTTTTATGAAATAGTGTCACGCGAACATAATGAAGATTAAAAAGGCTACTTTGACATAACAACAACAATGCCAGCAACTGGTTCGCCTCAAATACGACCGCGCAGCAGCCCTGGCTTGTCTCACACGTCACAGAAACAGACGACGACAGTGGCCCGAAGAGAGTCGATGGCAGCCGAGAGCGAAAGGGAGAGCAGGCTTTCGCCGGCTATGTGGCAATTTCTTTGGCGTTGCTGCTGCCAGGGCTGCACAGCAGCGGAAAGAAACGGAACTAGCTGAGAGTTGGGAAATTCGGAAAACTCCGACCAGTGCTGGATTGGTGCGAGAAATGTGGCAAGTTAAGTGAACATATGGAGGCAGAACAAAAATATTCAGCTGTGCCCCAGCCCTGGCATTAGTGAAACCCAAAACACACGCACGCACACACACACACTGGCACCCGCGCGAGGCAACTCGACTCGTCTCACAGGTGAGCAGCGCAGCAGCAGCAGCAGCAGCAACGGCAACGGCAGCAGAGCAGCGTCGAATAGCGCCCAGAGCAGATTCAGATTCGGTTTCTGCCCCTGCCTGCGTCCGATTTCAGTTCCAGATCCAACACCTGCAGCGGCGGCACGACAGTTACTCTATCGCTGTGCCTGCGAGTGAGTGCGAAACGCTCTACGGGAAGGGAAAACTGCAACGTGGAAAGTACGTCAGCGAACGGAACGGAAAATCCTGTGAGTAAAAAAGTGGCAACAACGAAAACGCGTGTGTGTTCGCCTGGCCGTGGCCGCAACAACACAAAATTTTGCCAGCGTGTCTCTTGCAGTCTCTGCTGTGTGTGTGTGTGTGCCCATGGTGCGTGTGTGTGTGGGAGCGCGCTAGCGGATTTGCCCGCGTATGTGTGTGTGTGTGTGCGCGCGCGCGTATATATACATGTGTGTGTGTGTAGTGCCAACAAGGCAAATTGTGTTTTTGTTATTGGAATGTAGCATCTCTTTAATACAGTAGTTATCCCTTAAGTGGGCTTTAATCCCTACATTCCTGCCTCGCCTGACAGATAACGTTCGCCCACGCAGATAACCGTGCATCCATCACTCGTGGCATTAAATTTTTGCATGTGACCGAAATGTAGATACAATATATAGCCCAGTAAACGGCACATTTCCAGTTGGAGGTTTCACTTATTCCAGAGGTTTTTTTTCGTTGTTGTTGTTGTTGTTGTATGTGCTAAGGATGCGCCACAAGTTTTTGGGTTAAAGTCGTGGCAGCTTTAACTGTAGATTACTGTGAGCTCAGATTTCAGATTCGTGGGAGAGGCGCATATTGATATTAAGAAAGTCGTGGCCTTTAAGTCAGAAGGGGATTTAGCCAAACTATTAATTATTAATCTTTAAAAATAGTTAAATCTTTAATAAAATAATTGGTGTGTGTAAAAGTTATATAGAAATGTAATAAAGTTAAACAGAACATATAATCCAAGAGATTAGTAATTTTTGAATATTTAATGAATCCAAGACTTAGGCAACGTAGGCAGTTTAGCGATAGTGTGCATATATTTAATGGATTCTGTTGGGTGGTATTATCTATCAATTCTAGGAACTTGTAATAGCATTAGGATAGGTCTGATATCAGCAATCAAGGCTATAAGCCCAAGATAAGCATATTGTAGGGTTAGTTTTTCAAATTTGGGATTAAATATATAGAAACAGGAAGTGATAATAGATTTTATTAAAATTATATAAGGGTTTAACCAAAAAATAATGTTAAAAAACAGCCTAAATGTATTAATCAAAGTGTTTTTTAATAATTAAAATTAAAATGAGACAAAAAGGAATATAAAAATAGGGCACAAAGTCCTTTAAACTGATTATCTGTTGAACCTGATATTAAAAGTGGGTTTTAAGGTTTCCATTGAACCCATTCTATAGGTTTTTTTTAAAGAAATAATGAGGTGGCCATTCCAATAACCAAAAACATCAAACTACACAGCACAAAAATCCCACCATAAACCAAATAGACACTAATTTCATTTCCGTATTGCAGCACCGTCTTTTTGAAACACCTGCTCACCTGCTCCTGCTCCTGTTCCTGCCACTACGATGGCCATTAAGCCCGGACTTGGTCGCAAGACCAGCAACAAAAATCCACCAATCCTAAGTCATGAGTTTGTGATCCAGAACCATGCCGATATCATCTCCTGCGTGGCCATGGTCTTCGTTGTGGGTCTGATGAACGAATCGACGGCTGCCTTTGCCAGCGCCTTCATCTCGCTGCATCACAATGTCAGCGGTGAGGATCCCAGTCGGGAGCAGCCATATGGCAAGGCCTACACCTATATTGCCGGCATCAAGGACTATTGCGCGATATTCTTCTACACGCTCACCTGCATCATTATGCACGCCATCATCCAGGAGTTTGTGCTGGACAAGATTAGCAAAAAGCTGCATCTGTCGAAATTCAAGCTGGCCCGCTTTAACGAGTCCGGCCAGCTTGTGGCCTTCTACCTGCTGTCCTTCGTCTGGGGCGCCCATGTGGTGCTCAAGGAGGGCTATTTGGGTCAGGTTGCTCAACTGTGGGAGGGATTCCCCGACCATCCGATGAGCTTCCTGCACAAATTCTACTTCATCGTTCAGCTGGCGTACTATCTGCATATGCTGCCGGAGCTGTATTTCCAGAAGATCAAGACCAAGGAGGAGCAACAGCCCAAGATTATCCATTCGATCAGTGGCTTCACCCTGATCGTCCTGGCCTACACACTGAGCTTCCAGCGTCTGGCCCTTGTCCTGCTGACCCTGCACTACTTCAGCGAGCTGCTGTCGCACATCTTCCAGCTGATTGGTGTCTTTGATCGCGAGGAGCGACTGGCCAAGCTGCGTGTGGTGAACAATGGCGTCTTCTTCCTTATTCGCTTTGCCACCTCGGTGATTGGTGTGCTCACCCTGCACTATGGCATCGGTGGATTCCGATCCCTGCTGGCTCTTGGCGGTCTAATCGCCCTGCAGGGTTACCTCGTCTTCTCCTTCATCACGGAGCAGCTGAGGGCCAAGCGGGAGGCCAAGAAGGAGGCTAAGCGAGAGGCTAAGCTGGCGCTGCAGACGAAGAAACCATCGAAGGCGCCAAAGGACAAGGTGAAGCGCAAGAAGGAGAGCGATCTGCCCGAGGCGGATCAGTCTTCGCCCAGTCCCGTCAAGCAGAAGCTCAAGTGAGAGAGCTTCTCCTTCTCCAGAGCAACAAAATCTTCCGCACACTTCCAATCTACAGAGAAACACAAAAAGGATATAGAGAGAAAGAGAGAGATAGAGAGAAAGAGAAAGAGAGAGCAGCACCATGGACAAGGAGCCTAGAATAGCTAGTTATAGACGATTGTAAAGCACGGCTCCACCTGTTTTTGTAAATCTCGATTAGCTCCAAAACTACTGCAAACATTTCTGCTGCATTTACTTCCTCAACGCAACACCAACACACCCACAACAACAACAACAACACACACACAACAAGAAACTATTTCTTAGCCTAAATGTTTTGTTTCATTTTAAGTTTACATCATTTTTTTTTTAAATAAATTTTTTTATTTTTATACATACACATAAAAGAAGAAAATCAAAAAAAAAAAAAAAAGAAACTAATGCTTATTATTGTAACGTGTGTTTTTTGTAATTGTTCTTCCTTGTAGCAAGTAAATTGTTCAATTGCTGAATACTGAATGATTTAACAATTTCCGATCGTCCTATTTGCATGTAAAACTATTTTTTATAAAACTAAAAAAAAAACACAAAAAAGAAAGAAAGATGAATGAGTGAAGATGAACAAGAACATGATGAAAAGATTGTAACGAAGCAAGAAAATATTTGCTAAATATATGAAAATATATATTTTGTATAAGAAAACTGAAAATATTGAAAGATGTTTTATTCTAAGGGTCGTTGTGTTATTTCCAATTATATATTAGGGAAAAACTATATTTTCAGAGAATAAGAACTATAATTCCCAACTGGAATGTCAAAGTTAATATAAAAAATGATTAATGGCCTTTGTCTAAAAGCACTTATATATTTAAGCAAGTTTGCTTAACTATTATAAGATATAGGTGTTTTTAGACTACCAAAATCCATTTTCTATAAAATATTTAATAATTATATTTCTTTTTCAGGATATCGAGGAGCAGGGCGCCGAGGATAATGCCACCTTGCTGACCACCACCAATTTGTCTGACGACGATTAATTGGAGCTCGTCTAGATGATTTACGATTATTAACGTTTAATCTTTATTCTTCAAACCAACTCTTAATGGTTTTTATTTTGGTTATAAGCTTAGCGATCCGAAATCCTTGGGATTTCCTTCCGTTTTGAGACAGACACAAACTCACACGTATATTTAAGGATCAGATTGGTTTATCAAAGCTGTCCAAAAGCCAAGCTAAAAAAAGCCACTTTCACTGTTATGTTTCGTTCTTCCACTTTTACCCAAAACAAGAAATGGCAAGCGGAAAATGAAACAATAAAAAAAGAAAAGAAGAAAAGAAAACAAAAAAAAAAAAAAATAATGAAGACTGTTTCTGAAACAACAACACGACCGAACACAAGTGAGTTAATTTTTGTTGTTGTAATTTTCAAAACTCGTTTTTCGAAAGTCTGTCCGTCTTAAATTTTTCGTTTTCCCTTTCCCAAAAAACTCTTTGCCTGGGTTGTGTGTGCGTCTTGGTGTGTGCCTGAGAGTGCGATTGTGTGTATGCTTGTTTCCATAATATATAAAGATATATACTAAATATATATGTATACATATTATATATAAAATATGCAAAAGCCGTAAGTCGATCATTTGAGTTGGGATAAGTTTTCCATTTGTCACTCGGAAAAAAAACTAATGTGTGCGGTTCGGAGCTGTGAGGGCTTAGTAAAATATATATATAAAACATACATATGCAAGAAAAAGAAAACATAAGAATTCATTAACGTCTAAAAATATATATATTATATACTTTTTAAAAACTAAAGCGAGCTTTTTTTAAACCTAATTTTTACCTAAGAAAACGAAAAAATAAAAAAGAATTGTAAAATGAGAGCCAGAGCTGTTAGCATAATTTTAAAACCACCTTTAGATCGATCTCTTGTTGCAGCTCTGAGTCGCACTGTGCCAGTAAAAATATTTAATTTAAAAAAAAAAACTTAAAAATCGTATACAAAAAATATACATAAATTAGTTTTCGGTGGCATCTTCAGGCTTAAGGAAAACACACACACACACATCACACTCAAAAATCAAATGAAAACGTCCAGAAATAAGAGTATTTTTTTTCGCAGTGCAGTGCTTCTGGAATTTGAATAAATCCAGCACATAAATACATACAATATAAAAAAAAAACATTGAGAAGAAGCCGCCGATGCATTTACACCTGGATTTCAAGTCTAATCCAGGCTAAATTCTGCACAGCTTGCAGCAGCACCCAAAAAATAAGCTTCGCAAACCGAATGCGGATGAAGAAGATGTAAAAGGGGGAGGGAGAAGACGATCGATTGGAGCATGATACCGTTATACAAGGCAGTGCCCCAACAAGTGAGTGCAAGCGAGAGGATCAGAAGAGAGTGTGTAAATTAACCCCAAGAAGGTGCAAGCGGCTTAAAGTCACCATTTGTAATAATTCGAGTTTGATTTGTATTTTTGAAATGTAATTATTTAATAATCAAATTTCAAATTATTGAGTTTAAAACTAGGTTTTTTTTTATACACACATAATTATTTTTTTCCTACCTTCAATCTTATATTTCTTGCGGCAAAAACAACAGTCATATTTCTGTTGCCCAACTAAGGGCCAATTTTTCCACACAGTACTGAGTAGGAGGAGGAGGACGAAAAAACATATTCAGCTTTCTCTCACTCTCTCTTAGCTCCCAGAGCGCCATGAGCTAGCACTAGCAATACCGTCCTCAAAAGAGAGCAATTATCGCTCCGATACCACCTTTCAAACATAGTTGGATCATGCACACAAAACCCTTTCGAGCACAGACTACCTGGTATAATGGTATCATGAATTAGCAATGATGATCTGGAGAAAGAGTTCCGAGTTTCGTGAGGCATATATCGGGGTGGTGGGGGGGATTGGGGGTACTATACCGTATGTAACCGTGTATTACTGTGTATTGTGAGTCTATATAACTGTGTATAACTGTGAAGCATTGACAAGTATTTGAGATGATCTGTATTTTTGTAAGCGTAATATTTAAAAAGCAAACAAGAAAACATAAGAAAACAAATCCAGAGAAGCAACTATTATATAGCGTAAGATATCGGGCGCGGCACACTCGCAGCAACACAATTGATTTGCTCAACATAAACACACACACACACACACTTAATATATACATACAATATATATATATACATATATATATATACAACAAAATATGTAACGCAAAGTATAAGGCTTGCATTTACGAGCGGGATATATCCTCCATATATATGTATATGTTATCACTAATTTGCAAAGAAAGCTAAACTAAGTCCATGTATACAAGAAATAAAAACAAAAAAACCAAAGATATCCGGCGACATAAAAAAAAACATACACAACACACACTATATTGAATGTTTTTGCTTGTTAAAGTGAATAATAAAGATGAAAAACCAAAAGAGGCTTCAATTTCTATAGGGAAGTGAGGTTTACTTTTAGCTTAAAATAAATCTCTTAAATAGTATACAATTTAAGCTTAAAACTATAGAACAAAGTAATCATTTCTGCTCTTAGCCAAAAATATATTCCTTATATCACTTTAAGATGGGATCTGTTCTTGCAACAATTTATCCCTCTTGGTCTCCTGTGCTTTTAAGTGTCGTTGCACAAAACTCTGAAAGTTTTCATCCTCCGCAGCGCCTTTAGCATCTTCCTCCATGTCCTCGACTTCCTCCTCTTCCGTGGCCACGGGCACCAGGCCCGGTGCCGTTATGACTATGTTGCCAAAGTTTGGTGGAGGATCCTTAAGGAAAAAACATGAAAGCAATTAAAAGAAAGCTGTAGTGTTCAATGATCTTAGTCATCATACGTTTAGCTCTATTCCGAGGGGAACGGCCACGCCCGCTTCTTCCACATTTGCCGGTGGCCTGGGGCTCATTGTTGCCTGCTGCTCCGCTAGTCGCTCCTTTCGCATTTTCTCGTAGACCGGCTTGTAGTCCTTTTCGTACTCAACGACGCAGTTCTGGATAAGATTCAGTAGTCGAGAAAAACCCACGCCAGTTTTAGACGAAATACCACAGTTGGGAAGGTTCTCGTAGAAGGTGTCAAGTGTAAGGGACATGGTGCGTGCCAAGTTGCTCACAAAGCTTGTCTCCTGCTCCAAGGCATCTTGGTAGACCACAAAGTCCGTCATCCACTCTTGAATAAAGCTGCAATCCATAAGGTCGATCTGGGCATGAATAGAGCCATATTAAATAGGGAAATGATAGGTTTAAAAGGAACTTTACCTTATTGAGAGCCACCAGGAAGGGTAATCGGGTCTTGTACAGAATGGAGCAGGCATAGAGCATGTTGGACATAAAGGTGCTGGGGCAGGAGCTGCGCACAACATCCATTACGTAGACTACAACGGTGGGGAACAAGGTGGCCAGACCCTCGGTGATTATGGTGCCTGAGGCGGACCAGGTGAACACCTCAATCTGACCGGGCGTATCGATTATACACCATTTGTGACCACGCTCTCCGGCCCGTCGTACCAGCTCCGCGAATTGGGACATTTTCGTGGTGAACATATTGAGCGCGGTCACAATGCTGCCATTTGGCCCCAGTTTATATTGCTTCATCACCTCCCGGTAGTTGACCGTATCCCTGATGTCCACGTGAGTTGCGTATGGCACTTCTCGGCAGGCAGGATCCAGATTAACCACGTACGGATTGAACTTCTCCTGGGCATGCTGGATTAGACTCCGCGTAAATGTGGTCTTGCCGCTGCCGGCCATTCCCAGCACAAGGATGCAGACAGGCGCCTCTCGGATGCCCTCGCTCAGGGACAGAGCAGACATTCCGATGCTATCCACACCAGCGGCCATTATTATTGCTTCGAATTTGGATGGTGAAATTAATACAAAATAAAAACCATGGAAGGCGCAAACGTGCGCTGCCCAGAGATGGGTAATCGTTCGATTTGCAGGCTATCTTTGTTTATCGATAGTGCGTATTTTAAGGTTCATCGAAGAAAAAATACCGCAGCTCCCAACTTTTATTATTTTTTATCAAATTTTTTGTTTATTAATAATCCTAATAAATTAAAAACAAATTATAATCCTAAAACAAAACAAAATCAATGTACAACTTCAGGGAATATGCACGGATACTAAAATACCATTTTTTTTTAAATGAAAAATACCAAACGATAGCACTTACCGATGGTTCTGCACTAGTGTGCCATCATTAACGATAGGCAACGGTAAACTGAAAAAATGCGCGAAAAGAATGCAGAAAAACTAAAAGTGTTAATAAAAGTGTGTGAAAAACGATGGAAACCCGTCTAGAAGTGCGTCTAAAAGAGCCCAATCCACTGTTTACACGGTGGCTCGAGCGTTGGCTACGGGAAGCAGAGCGGCGCCAGCAGAAATCACAGTTTAAACTGCGCCAGGCACTGGAAGCCCTGAAAAGTTATCCTCTGCCGCTGTACAGCGGCCGGGACTGCGCCATTTTGCGAGGCTTTGGGGGCACCCTATGCCAAATGATTGACGAGGAGCTGCGCCAGCATCGTGGCGTCAACTTGTTGCCGCCAACAAGTGGCACCAGCGGGCAGTACGAACAGCAGGTGCAACAGGTGGTAAGAAAGGTGCAGGAAAAGCAAGAGGAGCAGGCGCAAAAGAAGAAAGAGAAGGAGAAGAGGCCCCGCAAGCCCACCAAAAAGAGCTGCTAGAAATGGCGGCCGCCGAGGAGCGCGAACGCCGCGTAGAGATGCCACCCGGTGGCTTTGAGGTGCTCCTTCTCGTGGACACCCAGGAGACGAGTGGCAAGAACAAACGGGTGCTGGATCAAACGCGCAGCTACCTGGAGTCCCTAGGAGCCCAACATGAAGTGCGTCGCCTGACCATAGGTGACTTCCTCTGGATAGCTAAAGATGCTGCAGGCAATGAACTGGTCCTGCCGTATATTGTGGAACGAAAGCGAATGGATGACCTAGCATCGAGTATACGCGATGGCCGCTTTCACGAGCAGAAGCATAGACTAAAGCAGAGCGGCCTTAAGCATGTAATTTACCTAGTGGAGGACTATGGCGACAATGAGCAGCTGGGATTGCCCCTCGACTCCCTGCAGCAGGCCCTGGCCAATGCGAGGATCCAAACTGGAGTCCAGGTGGTGCGCACAGAGAATCACTTCCGATCGATGGCCTATTTAGCCAGCATGAGTCGCTCTCTGGGTCAGATATTTGGTCAAAAGACCCTGCACAGTGTGGAGCGTGCAACGACCCAGGACAAAGCCGACAGCTGCCTGCTGACAGACTCGAGACTGGGCTTACTTAAGTTCCGTGCCCTGTACGAGGATTCCGCCAAGAATGCTCAGCTGACGGTGCGTGAGGTCTTCGTCCAGCAACTCCTCCAACTGCACTCGCTCTCCCTCGAACGGGCCATGGCCATTGTGGAGAGATATCCAACACCACGATGCCTGCTCGACGCCTATGACGAGTGCCTGGAGCCGAAGGAAGCCAGGCTGCTGCTCGCGCGCATACCTTGCGGCCCTCTGGAACGACCAATGGGTGAGAAAATTAGTCAATGTTTACACGAATTCTATACGACACATTTTCGTTAGGATTAGCAATTGATTTAATGGGACATATCTAAGGTTATATACACGAATTTATACAATAAGTGAGAGAGAGAGATACATAGAGAATACGACGATTTCGTTTTTGGACTAGTTAGTGTATGGATTCCCCCATGGACATTCGATAAGTGTGAGAGTGTCTAGTCTAAGCCAAATATACAAGTCAGCTGAGGCAGCCGGTTAGATGTTACGGAAATGCCTAATGGCCAGATCCACCGGCAGATCAAAGTCGAAACGCGACAGAGCATCGATGGAGCGCAAAGAGTCGCGAAAACCCGTGCGGGCCACATAGCTGCTGGACGAGTAATACGTGTCCACCAGCTCATGACAGCTGAGGATCAAATTCAGCCACTCCACCAGCAAGTGAGAGCTGTAAAGAAGAGTTGCAGATAAGTAAAGGAAGACGGGAAAACTTATAAAACTTACTTGAGTCCCGCACAAACGAAGGCCTTAAAATGCGCATTGTTACTCCTCTTGTATGGCCTGTGCATGGCCAGGATCATGCCCACGGCACTTAGAAGACTCTGCTTGGCTGTCACCGCCTGGGCATCCACAATGTCCAACTGGAAGCTCTGCGACAACTTGCGGGCAGGCGTATTATTGTACTCATCGCCATGCTTTAATCTGTAGTAAGCTAGTACCAATTCCCAGGCATGCATGGCCCTGCCCAAGCCCATAAATTGTGAATCTCCGCTGGAAGCAGCTGGTATTACAGCCGCTGGTGGACCAGGATGTAGACATCGCATAAATGGAACCATTAAACTGGATGCTGCCGATTCCGCCGGTATGCGTAATCCATGCTGTATTAATTGCTGCAATGTTCGGGCAAAATTCTTACGCACCACCGTCGTCAATTCACGTCCAATTGTGGCTATTGAATCACCACGCATATGTGCCATACGTCGACTTTTACCCTCTTTTTCCCACTCGAAGTTGGAGTAGCTGATATCCTCATCGGAATCGGAGGAGACGGCACCGCTGCAGGCGGCATATGGAGCCAGTTCATGGCCAGTGGGCACTGCTCTTCGGCAACGTGGCGGCACAGTGGTTAATGCTCCATTTTGGGCATTGATAACTGGATGAGATGGATGGCCAGTGGAGGAAGATGAGGAGGAGTGCTCCTGCTCCTGTTGCCTTTTCTGCTGCTGCTGCTGTTGACGTAAAGCCCGCTTGATATTGGCCAATTTCTCGCGATCGCAGCTCAAGGTGGCAGCCAAGGCAGCCACCTCTTGGATGTCCACTTCCAGTTGGGCGCGGAGATCCCTAAAGAAGAAAGTGAAAAGAAAATGTGTGTTAGCAGAAGAAGGAAGCATCTTCAATCGACTTGACTATCTAAATTCTTCAAAATTATCACCAGATGCAACAGTTTGGCACTCTTGAAAGGTAAACTATAACTCAAATTCAAAGTTTAAATAATTATTAACTCCATAACTCACCCCCAGTGATTGCCCTTGTGCGTTTTCTTCAACGAATTCTGCTGGAAGTCATCGTGGCGCGGCTTTACCAAATGCGTGCTCGCAAACATTTGCATCAGAAGCGATGCCTTGTCCAACAGTCCATGAGCTTTGCTGTGTAGACTCTCACCGGAAGTGGAAGCAGCACTGGACGATGGTGGAAGAGCTGCTGCTGCTGTTGTGGCAGGTGAGTTTTTTGCTCTACCAACAATTGGTGACGGTTCAATGGGCGGAGCAATTTGTGAACTACTTCGGGCTGTCTGCTTGGCCGCATAGCTATTATATGCTCCCGAGAGGAGCTTCAAACGATCTCCCACAGAACTCTGATCGGCATCGCACTGTAGGAAGGCAATGAAACGTTCGAGGTCGGTTATTTGCGTCTTTAACTGGGCCACCAGCTGCTCCTTCATCTTCAAGGGACCCACAAATTCGCCAATGGCATTGTCCACCTGATGACGCAGCTGTTCGGTGCTTAGAGTCGGCAACTCATGCTGTTCCACCTGCAGATTGAGCTTGGCACGCAACTCGTCGAGGATAAATTTCTGCTTTTCAAGCAGCACATGCTGTGGCAAGATGCCAGGCTCTCCTGCCTCGTAGGCCAGCTGTTCGAGCTCCGTGAGCTGGGACTTGAGTTGCTCAATAAGCTGGCTATCAGCGACAGTTTCCTTTTCACCCTCAATCGAGGAGCTCTTGGCCTGCTTGGCTTTTGCTTCCTCCTTGGGCTGAGCGGCATCTGGAATGCCCTGGAAGGCAAAGTCCTCGAGATCACGTAACAATTGATCCCGTTCCTCTGCGGGAGCCTCAACAATCTGTCGCACTCTTAGCTGGACGTGTGCGAAATGGGAAGTTAGAGCTAACAGGGAGCTAGTGAGCAGCTCTTGCTCATCTTCGATGCTTCGGAGGCGAGCCAACTCGCTTCCTGCACTACCACGACGCGTCTCCGACTTGTCCAGTCCCTGCTCCAGTTCACAGTCCACGCCCGAACTGGCACTATTGGCATCATCATAGTTGGCGCCCAGCGGTGACCAGCGTTCGCTGAGGAGCTCCTGCTGCTCCTGCTCCGGCTCTAGCTCCACTTCCTCCTCCTCTTCCTCTTCCTCGGGTTCCTCTTGCTCCTCCTCGGAGCCAGCTGGCGGGAGCTGGCCTTCTACATTACAGGAGGAGTCCTTGGACTCGAGCGCTTCCTGGGCCTCGGCCATTTTCATTTCCATATGGAAATGCTGGCGAGGTTTGGCCTCTTCCTTTTGCTTGCCTTATTATCGTAGGTTTTCCTTTTGATTTCCTTGGGTTTCCTCAGTTATCTGTTTTTTTTTTTCGTTGTTTGCTATGGCAAGAAAAATCAATCGGTGGCTTGTTCCGCTTTCTGTGCCAGCTGGCCCAGCTCCCTTTGCTTTCTCTTTCTCTTTTCCACGGTGGCGTTTTATCGCCTCGATTCTCTTTGGTCCTCTCTGTGTGTCCAGTTCGTCGAGGGTTTGATGGGATGCGATGAGCGCGTGGCCACGGCTTCTGACGCACTGCCAGCTCACGGGGAAGCCATGGCTATAGGAGGAAGCTTTTTTTTAGGGGGGACCTCCTTCTTTGGGGGTGGAAAATGTAGAAGCTTTAAGCTATTCTCCCACGCATCTGTGGGGTTGGTATCTGTGATATGTGAGCTTTGTTATCTATCTTTGGTTATCAGTCAAGTTTTTAACAAGGGTTTAAATGGTAAAGCTGTAAATAGTAAGCTATTTTGTTGGGGGTGAATTATTTAAGGGCGCTTTTTGTTGTTATTTTCTTACTTGAGGGTGGTATTTGGGGTATGAGGGGAAGTTTGAAGGCTCTGAAATAATATCTGGGTATCAGTTAAGTTTCTAAAAGGTGTTAATAAATTAAATCTCTAAGTTCTGAGTTTTCTTGCTTAGGGTGAGTTAATTAAATAGGCTTTCCGTTAAACTTCCTTAGCTTGGTGAGGTCCTGAAGAGCTTAAAAGCTTTAAATTGATGTTTCCAAGAAGGGTTGTCTAGAATCTTGTAAGCCTGTAAGCTTATCCCTTTGGGGGGTGAGTTATAAAGAAGCTTTAAGTTAGGCTCCCCCGACTTGGGGGTGTTATTAGGCTTAGCTTTAAAGCTTTATAAGATATTCTGGTGATCACTAAAGTTTCCCATAAGGGTGACAAACTTAAACTTAAATCTAAGCTAAGGGTTTTTAAGCTAGTCTTCCTTATAAGCTAACCGCGAGCTTCTTACCACTTGTGCCCCTGCCTTAAAGCTCTTCAAGTCCCAAACTTGTCCCAAATAGCTCAAGTTTCTCACCCTCTTAGGGGGTGTATAAGGCCAAAATGAGTGCCAAAAGGCGGTTACTCATGAATCAATGACAATTATGACCTACATTACCAAAACATTTTTAGACAGAACATTGACCGCAGCGGTAAACACGCATAGAACACGCTGCCCAGCCCAGCCCAGCCCCCTTCTCTCTCTCTCTCGGAGACCTCCTTCTCCTTCTCCTGGTTAAGATAATGAAATCCCCGGCATTTTCGAGTGTCTACCGATAAGGCAGCAGCAGCGGAGATTAAGCCACAGCGAAACAAGTTTGCGGTCTACGCTGCTGACAGCGCACCTTATCAGCAGCCGGTTTGATGATGGGTCAGATAAGTCTGTCAAGTGTCTGACACAGCAACCATGGCGGTCATTTTGGGGTCACCCACCCCCCAAAGCGTCAGCTAACCAGGAAATTCAATGTCCAACATGGAAAGTCCATAAGAGTCTTGAGAAAATAAATAATCATATAAAGTTAGATGGGGAAATTAATTGAAAATGAAAGAGGGTAAGACTTTAGTTGAAGGTAGAATTGTAGATTAGAACGGGTTTAGAAGAACTCTTAACTTAAACTTAACGAGATCTTTTAACGATACCTTATTACTAAATCTTTTTACTAGACCTCTTAACAAGATCTCTTTTTTAACTATAACTTTTAACGAAATGTCTTAACGAGACCATTATTATAACTTGTATCCGATTTTTAGTTACAGATTAAGTAAAGGGTTTAGTAGAAGTATTATCTAGATCTATTAACCAGAGCTCTTAACCAGACCTCTTAACAAGACCTCATACTTACACTCTATGTAGAAGTGATATCCTTTCGAGGTATAAGTTCCACTTAGTCCTTAGAACTAAGAATTCCCTGAAATCATTATGAAACCCAAAACAAGAACTTCAAGTTATTCCCCTCTTTACCCTTTCTTCACAAAACTTCTTTTGTTCAGTGTGGTTTACAAACTTATTTATTATAACAAACAAAAAAAAAAAAGAAACGAAGAGAACCAGAAATGTATAAGGAAGCGATGAAGGAATGTAATGGAGGAAACGTAATTACGGAGAACGCTTAACGAGGCGTCAGATTGTGCTTGCCACCATCGATGGGAAAGAGGGCGCCGGTGGTGAAACTGGCCTTGGAGCTGGCCAAGAAGGCCACGGCCTCGGCCACTTCGTTAACATCACCCACACGGCCCATGGGATGCGAGTTAATGGCCCGCTGTAATACACCCTGATATTCCTCATCCACAATGCCGATGCTCTTGTGTATATTAGTGACCACAAAACCAGGATTCACGGAATTGACACGAACACCCTGTGGTGCCATTTCCAGAGCCACGATCTTGGTGAACTGATCGAGAGCAGCCTTGGACACACCATAGCTCAAGGCACCGGCAAAGGGACGAAGTCCAGCACAACTGCTCACATTGACCACAGCTCCTTTGGTCTTCAGGAGATGTGGGAGCACGGCCTTTGTCAGCAGGATAACACCACGTAAATTGGTATTCAACACGGAATCAAATTCCTCAATATCCAAATCGATGAGTCCTCCTTTGCCCAAAATGCCGGCATTATTCACTAGGACATCGATGCGTCCGAATTTGTCGAGGGTCTGTTTGACAATAGCCGCTGCATCCTTGGTCACATCAGCCACCACAATCTCAGCCTTGGCTCCCTTTAGATTCTTCTTGGTGGCCTCCAGATTGGCCACGTTGCGTCCCACCAGGGCCAAAGTGGCACCTTCACGGGCCAGCACCTGGGCAATGGCGGCACCAATACCACTGCTAGCACCTGTCACGATCACCACCTTGTTGCTGAGACTCATCTTGGACAACTGAAGCCGGCAATGGCTTAGAGTGGGTATTTATGGGCCTGGTCTCTTCTAGAATCTCTCACACTCTCTTACTCTCTGATTGGAATGTCTCTGATAAGATTACAGCTATTGGGTTCTGCACTCAAAGAAAAAGGCAACAACACTTTTGTTATCTGTATAAAAGTGGGTAAATAGTTTCACATTTTTCCAGTTGTTTGTTTATTTTTTTTTATTATGTGTTAAAAATAGAAACAGAGATTTATGGGTTTCGGTAAAGGTAAAAAACTTTCCTTGCAAAAAGTTAAGCCAAGTTGGGAGTTAATTTATTTACTGATTTTTTTATTTACTTCTTTAAGATCTGGCTTTGTTTTTAGGGATAAATATTTTATGGATATTAAATAATAATTTATTTATTTCTTTCTTTCTTAATTATTTATTTTTATTTATTATATCACTGTTTAAGTGTTAAATAAGTTTAAAAAATTAAAAAACGGGCTTGTTTTAGGAACTGTTAAAGAAGAAAGCCTCGTCTTGGTCTTTAGTAATGATACTTAGATGATACATCATCATTTATTTTTATCTACAACCAGTTGGGAATTTTAGTTTAGAGCTAGTTATAGTTATTTACGATTGGTACCATTAGTAATTGGAATTCAAGAAGTCATAAAAGACAAGAAGTAACTGTTCTAGAGGAAATTCGCTACTTACTTTTATTATCAATAGTCAGTTGATATATCAGCAGTTTGTGGCTAAAACCCCTTGGGAATTTTAGTGCAAACCAAGATGTACGGGTCTGAAGAGGTTTCTTGTGTACCTAAGGCTTTGTTCAATTTAAAATTGATATAGGAAATACTTATTTTATAGAATATTAAGTTCTAAAACAAACTCAGTTAGAACTCTGTAGGATTACTTGTTCCATTTATTTTTTGTCAGTGTAAATATGACGTAAATTGTAGTTGAGGTAATCTCTCTCTCTCTCTCTCTGCGTGTTTGGAAAAAACCAACCTGTTGAGGTTCACCTTGGGCTCGGGTTTCCCGGTCACAAACCCAAGGGGCATACTCTCTATCCTCCATGATGGTCTTTATCGATGCTCTAGCATCGCATTAGCAACTCGGTTGCGACTTGGTCGCGTTTTTTAAGACGAGAGAAAGGCCGAAAAAGTTTTTAATTAAAACTTTCCATGGGTCTTGTTGTCTGATTTCAAACATTTGTGAAATCATGCCTAAGAACTGGTCTCTCCATGCTATTTATCGGCCTAGAAGACGGGCCTCCTCCACGTCCTTGGGTTCAACTTGAAGTCGAACAGGGGGGCCGGGTCCGTTGTCAGATAATTAGCATTTCCATTTGGCTTGAGTGCGCGCTCGTATATCAACGCCTCTTGGAAGCGAAGATAAGGCAACGGGGGCCAGCTGTCGAGGCATTTGGAGGACACTCGCCATTTGTGGCGATAATGGTACAGTGAAGGTTAGCCAAGCCTAAAGTCCTCTTAGGGATATATATCTACTCAAAGGAGAAGGCCAGTTTCCACTGTATTTTGCAAAATAAATTGGGGACATTTTCGGACCTAATCGTTTTTCTCTCTAGCTAAGCTAAGCGTTTCTCCTTGGCAATTACTCAAAATCTATGAGCGAGTGGATTAATTAATTAAAATAGTGACGACGATGGCAATCCCAGAAGGGATAGAATAGACGAATTCATAATTATAATTAAGTATCCGAACTTGAGAAACTAAGTGAATTTTCCATCAATTGGATAAAGCGAAATCATGATTGATTTTAATGATTTTAATTAATAACGAAAAGCGAGAGATGGAGCATTTTGTACACACATTCCATTAAGTATGTGTCCTTCAAGGAGGAGCCAGGAGTCACTGGCTTGAAGCACTTGGAGTATAGCTCTCTAGCCACACTTCTACCGCCCACTTGGATTCAACTCAATTTGTTGTGAAGATTTGAAGGCGGAGTCGGAGTGTCACAATGTTACTTGGGCCAACGAGATAAGCCCCGAGTGCCATTCGTCGTTGTCACAGTTGTCCTCTGATTTCCCCCTGCCTGAATTTGTTGCTTGATTTCACTGTGCAGTCACTTTCACGCCAAGGACAAGGCAGGATTGGATAGCAGGATAGTAAAGGACACTGGGAACCCCCCGCCCTAGGAAGATGCATTGATAAGTGTGCAGCGGTTTATGGAAATTGATGTAAAGGAATTTCATGTAATTGACAAGCGACAACGAAATTGCATACAAATTGCTTAATCCTAGAAACTTCCAATCTAAAATAAATTAACTTTTAATTAAACCAAAGCAAAAAAAAAGTGAACTCTGCAAAACACAAACAAAAATAAAAAACAAAAACAAAAAAAAAAGGAAATGGAATAGATAGTGCAAAATAAATGAGAAGGAAGTGCAAATACCCTTGGAGAAGTCCTAAGACCAAGTGCCAAGAGTCCTGCTCCCCTCCTCTTTGCTTGCTTGATGCTAGGTGAAATGCTTTTGTCGGTTTTAAATTGGTAAATAAATGGACAAACTTGTGCAATAAATATCTCAAACCCCCCAAATCCTCCCCCTTTGAGAAAGTTGAGTAAGAACTTAAACTAAGAATTAAGTTTAAATACTATATATACAGCAGAGTGACTCCTGACTTCTGGTCCTTACTTCAGGGCAGCCTTGTTCTTCAATGGCAAAAAGGCGGCCATCAGGCAACCGGCTAGAAATAAAAAGGGGATAAGGATTAGGTGGATATAGTTTCCCAGAAGGACCTTAACAACTTACCCAACATGAACAGACTGACCATGAAAAAGGGCGGCACACAACCCAATCCCATCAGAGCTGGGAAAAAGATATTGCCCAGCAGAGAGCCCATGCGACCGAACATCATTTCCAATGAGACAATCATTGTCCTGAAAAGGGGAATGTGTATATGTGATACATGACGACATTCTAAAGTGCCAGGATCAAAGGATATTACTCACCTAAGCGAAGTGGGAAATAGATTGACCGAAGCACTGATTACCGATGTGGCAGATATGCTGCCCATGGTTACAAATAACGAAGCTAAAGCCACAGTAGATATTGCTGAATTGGACCAATACATGCCAATGGAACAGCAGCCAGCAGCAAAGAGACCAATTGCTAAGAGAGAAAAATAAGACAATTATTACTTAAAGTTATCTTGTGTTAATTATATAGAAATACTTACTCATAATACGCTTAACACCAACCAAATTGACCAGAAAACCGGCCAACATATAGGCCACAAAACCAGCAGCCGCCACTATTAGATTATTTGTATATGTTGAGGCAGTGATATTCACATGACACTCGGCCAAAGGATCATTACGAGTGGCTGCCTCTAGCTGAGCCTGAGTGCGATTCACACTGTACTCCAGGATGTTGCAAATGCTCGTAGAACCAGTTTCACCACTTGCAACCATCAGTTGTTCATATTCATTGATCGAGGCAAAGAGCTGAGGTAGCCACAAACGCATCGTGTTTTGTCTATAAATAATAATAATTATCATATTAAGACTTCTCTATGACTTTAAAGACTTACCCCAATAGCACACAGAAATTGAGCAGATATACCCAGAGGGATAAACCCAAGTAGGGTTTGGTGAACAATGGTCTTAGCTGAGAGAAGCCTGAGGTCTTCTTTAGCGTCGCTGCCTTGGCACCCTGTTCGGCATCTTGTAGGTCATTATTATTATCAATTGGCAGCTTAATTTCAACTGAAACAGTCTTATCCTCTTTGTGTTTTTTGGGCTCAGGCACAATCACTTCATTGGCCAGCAATTTGATCTGTTTAAAAGGTTTCATTTATTAAGTTTAGTTAGGAATTTAATTGGTTCTTGATAAATACTCACTGGAAACGAGTCCTTGGCTTTGCGTGTATTTAAATGATACATGAATTTAAAGGCATCCATGGCCTCCTGATTTCGTCCTTTTGACATGAGAAATTTGGGGCTTTCCGGAAAGAAAAGAAGAGCACAAAGCTCAGAAGACTAGGTAAGGCGGTAATGGCCACAAAGACCTGCCAGGAGGATACTGGAAAGGAGAGAAATTTATAAGGGATTAATAAGAGATTAAAAAGAGATGATTAAGAGATGATTAAGAAATGATTAAGAGATGAATGAGATATAAATATGAACTAATTTCCCAAGTATATTTAAGTTCTTATTTTGCAATCATATGAAGTACCTTTTTGAGTTAAACTTCTAAAAGTTTTAGCATCTATTATTATTTGTACTAATTTCTTTATAACTTCTTTTGGAATCATAAAAGTTAGCTACCAATCAGTTTTCAGATCACCTTAAAAATTAGGTTATAGCATCACTTTTTAAATGAATCAGACTTTGATATGAGAGTTTTAAAGTCATATATCTAAGAATCTGTTCAAACAACTCAACCGGCGCGTGGAGTGTGAATCGTTTGATTGATTGTTCCCACAGAGAGAGAAACCATGAAGCTGCCTCATCAGCTGTTCACTCGGTAGCTTATCTATTATCATATCTATTTGTCTTATTATCTGCCCAAAGGCTATCTCCTCTAATTTGTTTATCGTCAAAACAACTCAACACGTAATACAACCCCTCGGGACACTTACGCGACAAAGTCCAAATGTTAATATTCCATTCCTGGGGTAGAATTAGCATGGCCAAACCAGGTAGCGTCAAAGTGGCAATGGAGAACATGATGCCCACCACCATCATGATGCGCTGGCGATGTTTGCGTCCATGGAGTTCCGTCAGATACGTCATGAGCACAGCAAAGGGCCCACTCATACTGAAATTTACACAAAAATTCATTCACAAGTTACTCTATATATATATCTAGAGATAAACTCACCAGAAACCTCCCAGATACTTAAACACCATCAGCTGTATCCTATTCTGACTGAAGGCTCCACCCAGCACACAGAATGTATCTGCAGCATAGCCCAGAATGAGAAGATTCCTTCGTCCCTTGGTATCCGCCAGGTAACCCCACATCACTGCTGAACAGATCATGCCCGCATAGGTGATGGCATTTAGAATACCCTTGTCCAATAGGCTCAACTTGAGATCACACTCGGCACTGGGCAGGATGTAGGACATTGTTGAGGTCTCATAAACAGTGCCCATGGCTGCTGGGACAGCAGCAATCAGAAGTAGGATATTGAACATTCCAAATCCCGCGGCATCTATGGCGGTCTCGAAATCTGCTCCTGCTCCTGCTCCCGTTGTCATCTCTGTCCTGGGAATCACCTGGTCACCTTTCTGGTTAGAATCTTGATCCACCTGCTCGGTGATCTTGGGCAGCTTGGTGGTTGCACCCATCGTGTGCTGAATGCTTGAATTGCCTGTGCTAACTGAACTTGAGGCGTTGGCCGGTAACGTTATATCTTCCACGACAGCAACCTCCAGGGGCCTCAAATCAAATCTTTGTTGACACTAATTGGGTAAAGAAAACAAAACAGCAATGAGATGCTATGATTATCTAGAGATCTGGGGATTACCCTGGACGGTAGCTAGGGGGAGGCCCTACCTGTGAGTAGTCGCGTGGAAATAGGATATCCATGGAGGTAAGACCTCACTTTCACCCTTTCACCTGCTAGAATTTCATCAAGAAGATTTTTCATGAAAACAATTAAACAGAACACACCCCTTAGTGTTTATTCAACGGGGTTTATGATTGTTTCCATTAGCATCAGTATCAACATCATCAGCCGTATCAACAATGCTCGTATCAGTATCATCAGGCCCCTTGTCTGGGGTGATCACTCTACCCACGACTGTCCACGCGAATGGTAGGCTTTATGACCACCGTGATTTCGGTTAACTGATTTTCTGTTACCCCCTTAGACGTAAGTTTAGAGGGGTATATACCTTTTCCGACAAGGGGTAGAGTCTTTGAGTTGATAAATTAAATGTAACCTCTTATAGCTATGTTATATTTATTATATTTTGTTGTTTATTTGTTGTTTAACTAAACTAATCCTGCCTGGAAAAGTCCAATCGAATGGTAGGTGTTAGGTTTAGTGATTTCTGGTACTCCCCTAGACATAACTCCTAAGGGGTTTATCCTTTCCCCGAAAAGGGTTAGACTCTTTGAGTTTGAAAATTAAACCTCTTAAAGAGTGATGGTAATTAATTCTAAATTCTATTATTTAGATTTTGAAACCCTAGCAAAATCCTTTTCCAACTGGTTTAGTCCTCACTGTAATTATTTCCACATACATTAAAGATATATAACATAAACCTATTTAAATGTAATTCCTACATTCCCGCTGCTTTTTGCAATTATAAATTTGAAAAAAAAAAAACAAAGAAAAAACAATAGGGAAAATGTATGCAGTTGGTAATTTTTAGTCGAATTTGTTGAAACGTTAAGTAAGGTGGGAGGTGATGTAGATTCGCACCTGTTTTGATTGCGGCTTCTATGACGACATGGACCCACGATATTCTCCGCCATTTTCCATTTAGACCAGCTTTTTGGCCCAGTTGCCAGGCTGGGCAAGAGCGTTGCCTAGACCCCACAGTTTTGTCGTTTGTCGTCGTCATCGGGCTAAAACTAATTGCAATGATTACGGGTTATGAGTTGGTTTCCCTGCAAAACTTTTCGGGATTACGATTACTCATGTAGGAGCTTAGTGTGCGCTGTGGTCTGGTCTGGTCTGGTTTTTCTGGGTCTGATGATGTAGGGGGAACCGAGAGGTTGTAGCTGGGCTTTTGGCGTGTGCTGCGATTTGTTTTGTCGCAAAATTGTGGCCATGCACAGTGGGGTATTGGCCTGGCCTCTACTGCCTGGGCATAGATCAGGATTTGATAGTAATTAAGCGGGCTACGAGGCGGAAGAATCGTAAGAGAAGAACTAGTAATTAGGAGGAGATTAAGACCGCAGCAGGAGCAGGAGCAGGAGCAGGAGCTCGAAGCTGCAGAGTGTTGAGTAATGTCAGCATAAAGGGATTTTGTGGTGTGACTTAAGGAGCGGTCTTATTTGTCAAGACAAAAGTCTAAAGCTAGTCCTTTCGAATTGCATACATTTTACCTGAATATGGGCATGATTTTCTCTCAAATATTGTATGTCAAGGAAAATATTTGTGTATTTATCTAGGAAAGTTTCTGTAAATATATACATTTATATATATATATCTGAAATAATAGCTAAGTCTAACATCTTGATGGTCCTCCAGCAAAAGGTTTTCTCACTCAGAAAATGATTCATTCATTCATGCTGCTCCTCCGACAGCATTTAATTAAGATAAACAAGGAATTTTGCTAGGACCATGCCAGGACGAGCTCTGTATTTTAAGGACATTCCACCCCACCCCTTTTTTGAGCACTTTCTGGTACAATCCAACCCACTGTTCTATGATGGGAGGAGGGCCATGACCATGCCATAAAAGACATGACGAAACCTAACCAAGATTGAAATTTTTCCACGCTACAATTTGTTTAATTTCATCAGCTAGAGATTCTCAGGGATTGGGGGGGAAAAGCGGAAAAGCGGGGAATGGAGTGAGAAAAAAGGGAGGAGAAAGGCGGAACGTCAACGGATGTCTACGCAAATTTCTTTGCGCTATTATCTAAGTCAAACAGAAGCGAGTCGAGTCGAAGTGAGGCGAGGCGAGGCGAACGCCAAAAGTTTTTCACCTCCAACAATCTGGACGAAAGTGTCAAGGGGTTTTGTTAAGGTGGCAATTTTACACTGAGAAAATAATCCATCTAAAACTAAAGTCATGGGAAAATAGAGAATTATAATATGTAACGGCTTTCCTTTAGATTTGAATTTTAACAAGAAAAAAACTACTTTAGGAAGGCAAAGTTTATACATCCTTGCAATGTGCACTTAAATTATAGCATTGAAAAGGAAATCTATCATAATAATCTAATTAAAATAAAATTCGCATTCTTTAAATAATTTTTTTTCGATATTTTTATATGACAATTTTTTCGATAAATTTAAAATTTAAAAAACTCATAACTAAGTCAAAAATGTATTAATTTCGATTCGGAAAGCTTTTTTTGCTAGTTTTTATTAGTTTAATAAATCTACATACTCCATTTAAAATGTAAAAATATTAAATTTTTTTTCGATTTTATTTTTTAATTTTAACCCCTTAAAAAAATTCAAAAAAAATCAAATTTTTTTTTACTTTTTAAGATAGCTAAATCGATTAGGCTATTGATGCTGATCAAGAATATATATATGTAATTTATAGGGTCGGAAATGATTAGTTTTAAGCTTCTGACTAAAATTAGAATATTATAGATGTGATAATATTACAACCAGAAATAGGTACATTTCTCAATCTATCCATTTATTAATTAATGTATCTAAATATTAAATTTTATATAAATTTATAAAATTATTTATAATCTATCTATCTATTCATTTAAGTATATAAATCTATAAGTATATATCTTTCGTTCTATTTAATTGTCCATCTATATACCTATACACTTATCAATCTACCTATCAATCTACTTCTCCATCTATCAAACTACCTATGTTATTATCAATCATTCAATCTATTATCAATTTCTATATACGGACACTATTTGAACTATGAAATCAAGGTATTTCCATATTTTACTGCATTTAAGAAGTATTTCTATACAACTAAAACTAAACTTAAATGGCTCTTAAAGCTGTCTCACAAACTGATGGGTATTGTTTCATGCATTTCAAGATTGTGGTTTCCAGGACCTTGTTTTTCTTATTCCTAAGAATGTTTTAATCAAATTATGATTAATTTTGTATAATGTATTAATTTATTCAACTTTTACTAAAACCTAATTCAATACTTCTTTCCCTTAACTTTAATTAATACTTCTTCCATAGTTTTGAAAAAGAAATATTCTATTTTTGTTATATTTAAAGATTTAATATGAAAGAAATCATTCGGAAAACCCCATTCACCTTTGAATTCCCAATCATCTTCTAGTTATATCACAATTTTTTCTCTGTATCTTGGCCAAGTGGGTGTAGTGTAGTGTTGCCTGCTGGCCGTGCTGTAGTTAACGGCTTTGCATTTTGGACAGCGTCACAACTTGGCAACAAATTGGACTTTTGTTTGTGTTTGTTAAAAGGCTTAATTTGTTGTGCTTTCGGTCTGGGGTTGGGGAAACATTATGAGAGGGTGCTCCAGAGAGAGGGAGGTGGAAGAATGTGGATGTGGATGATGGGCTATGGTTTGGTTTTGGTATGGATAGTGGTTCCCTGTTTCCTAGGTCCTGCCTCCTGGCCTCCTGGCCTCCTGGCGTCCTGGCGGGTGCTGTGGTTCGGTGGTGGCGCCGACTAAAGTGCTTCGAATAACTTGAGTGAGCGAATAGTATGAGTAGGAATATGAGTGTGAGTATGAGTGTGTGAGTGTGTGTCCGTTCAAGGTGTGTGCTTGGGTGTGTGTGTGCGTATGTTGAGGTGTGTCTGCCTAAATCAAGCTCAAACAATTTCAACTATTTGAATTGCCGAGCCATGGCAAGAGAGCATTAGAGTGCTCACACACACACATGGCACACACACCGCTTACACTGAACAAAATAATGGGTTAAAGGTAATCCCTTTTTCTGAGAATGAAAATATTTCATCAGAATAATCATAATGGAATGATGAGGGTTAAGTAGTTGACGATACTCCCTAGCAATGATTCACTTAAAAGCTTTACTAAACAATAACAATGTTGTTTAAATATTTACAAAGAGAGGGATAGAGTCATTAAAAACGTCGCCTTTTGATAAATTAATAAACAATTCTCGAGCACCTTTTGTAGGGTTTGTTATTATGGAAATTAACCAACATTAATGGGAATTGTTTTTGTTTAAAAAAAGGTAGACTAGTTTGTATATAGTTTCCTTTATGTAAGATTAACTAAATTTGGGAGTTTGGAAATTAACCAACATTAATTGGAATAGTTTTTGTTAAAAAAAGGTAGACAGGTTTATAAATACTTTAATCTATGTAAGATTAACAAAATTTGGGAGTTAGTTAGTTAGTTTTTACTTGTTTCAAATTTAAGTTTATTATTTATGTATTCAATTTGTTTTGTAAAATATAGGTTTAATATTGATTCAGTTACGCTACATCAACAATTTCTGTTATTCCTAGGAAGACAACTTTAAGAAGTTCAGAAATCATTGCAAAAATCTCTTCTTTGTTTGTTATTATTATTTTTCAAATCTTTCTTCTCTAAAATAATATGTAACAGTGTAAGAGAACACCTACACGAGCAGGTGCATGTGGCACTCAGCTGCTAACGACGTGCCCAAGTAAATGTCAAACTAATGCCCAAGCCTCGCACCGCAGGAGCCAGGATGCCAGGCCACGAACCCACCAGCACTTGTCCCTCCGCATCCTTTATCCTTTTCCCATCTCCCAGCTCCCAGCTCCCAGCTCCATTCGCTTCGCAGCTCCGCCGCATTTCACCGCAAACTATCGACGGCCATCGCCAACTTAATAATGTAATGTCCCTCATTGGCGCTTTAAGTTTATGTATTCCGCTCCCGCTCGCTCCCATTTTGTGGCACGTTGCTTTCCCATTTTCCACCTTTTGGAGCAGGTGACCTAGAGATGGAAGTGAGTCCATGAGTTCGTGAGTCGTTGCTTTTATTATATGGAATTTGTACAATTTTTTTTCATTTAGACTGAAACAAGAAAGAAAGCTACCTTTGGCTCGCCTCAATCTGCAATGGGTATATATATAATAAAGCAATGCCTGTTTTCTTTTCATTCACCACTTTGAATTTTCCTCTATTTTTACAGATTGTTTGTAAGAAGCTTCATATATGATATAGTAGTCCGATTTTCATACAATTTACACAAAATTCTAGATTTACATATAGTTTCTTGTATCAAATTTAAAGAAAATCTGTTTAAAACTGGAAAAGTTATATTTTTTTCTTAAAATTTTCCGATCGATCCTATGGCAGCTATATATATATGTATATATATGGTCCACCGATTCGCCATGCTCTGACTTATATATAAGTAAAATTATATAGAAGAATAGATCCATAGTTTCATTCAAATAGCTTCCGAAACAAATCTCGCACACTGTGCATATAATTCCCAACTAGTTCTAACATCCCCGGAACGAAGTGACTGCTGCCGGCCAAGTATCAGAAATGTGTTGTGTTACAAAAGTTGCAAGTCATTGTTTACTAGTGTTCAAAGTTAGTGAGTGATCATACATACATACTTACTGATCATAGATACTTACTGATCATAGTTACTTAATGTTCAGAGTTACTTATTGATCATAGTTAATTACTGATCATACATTCTTACTGGTCATACATGCTTACTGATCAAAGTTACTTACTGGCTATAGAGAATTACTGTTCAGAGTTACTTACTGCTCAAAATTACTTATTGATCATTGATACTTGCTGTTGAAAGATACTTCCTGACCATAGTTAATACCTGATCATAGTTAATTACTGTTCATAATTACTTACTGGTCATAGATACTTAATGTTCATTGATACCTACTGGTCATAAATTACTCCCAAGCTTAAGTAATTAAGACTAACTAAGCTTTAAATAATTGCATTTTTTGCATCGATATTTATCCATATTTTTATATGACATTTTTACCGACAAACCAAAGTTTAAAAAACTCATAACTAAGCCAAAAAGGCATTAATTTTAAATCGGAAAACTGTTCTATACTAGTTTTTATTAGGGTAATAAATCTGTATACTCAATTGAAAATTTGACGAATAACCACTTAAAAAATGTCGAAAAAATTAAAAAAAAAATTTATCGTCCGGAGATGTCCAGATTGATTCGGCTTTTGATTCTGATCAAGAATATTTATGATGTATTGGGTCGGAAATGATTCCTTCATTTAGTTTTAAGCTTCTGACTAAAATTATAATACAATTCCTTAATAGATTTTAACTAAATATTTATGTGACAATTTTGTCGAAAAATCAAAATTGCAAAAACCCATAACTAAGACAAAAATGCATTAATTTCAAATCGGAAAGCTGTTCTATGCTAGTTTTTATTCGTTTAATAAATCTACATACTCCATTTAAAATGTCAAAAATTCAAATTTTAATCAATTTTTTTTTTTTACAATTTTAAAGATGAAACCCCTTATAAAATTTTGAATTTTTTTTAAAAAACCTAAATTTTCTTCAGACATAGCTAGATCGATTCGGCTGATGATGCTGATCAAGAATATATATGATTTATGGGGTCGGAAATGAATTCTTCACTGTGTTTAAAGCTCCTGACTAGAATTATAATACCCTCGAAGGGTTATAAAAATAATATATAATATTAGTTGAAATTTTTATATTATTTTATTTTATTTATAAATTTAAAATTGGGAGTATATGAGGAAGAGATGGGTGTAAGTTGTGAGTTGTTATTCCACTCTATAGATTAAATATAATATTTATTATTCTTTATATTTATAGATATATATTTATTATATTTTTTTTCAAGAACTTTGCCCTATTTTTAATCTAAATTTCCTTTTTTTCAGATAATAATCAAGTGCCTATTAAAGTGTAAAGGTTAACCTTTGAAGCTTGTAAGCTAGAAAAGTGAATTGTGAATTATGCTTATTCACCTATCGTATTTTAAATTTGGAGTTATAAATCGGTGAGTGATTTAAATATTTACTATTTTAATATATATTTCTATACTCTGTATATTGACTACTTGCTTGTTTTTAAATACTTTTTAATGACATTTTTTAATGCATTCGTGTCTTTTGCCAGTAATTAAAATAATATTTGCATCTCTTTTAGAAAATAAGCTTTCTTAATCTTAAGTATAACCCGCTTAAAATCATGCTTAAAAGCACTTTCACCTTAGTTGCTTGCACTAGTAGCATTAAGCAAGAATTATGCTTACTGCTTGGTTTTTCTTTGTACATTCTCACGCTATATCTGTATATATCTTTATATAAAAATTAATAATTCCAAATTAGAGTTAAAAAGTACTTAAAAAAACTTTTCTCAAATCCCCTTTACCCCAATTTAAATCTCCTAAAATTCGTGTCACGCTGTTATCTCAATGAAAATGGAAAATTCCCCCCTTGCATCCAAAGCTGCAAAGTTTTATGCAATTTATTGCATTTAATGCTCACTAACAGTTAGCGAAAATACCCGATACACAGGTGAATGTGTGTATGTTTTGTAGTTGAGTGAGATTTTGTGTTTTCCGCAGGGAAAACACACAATGCCAAAGGCGGGGCGAAAAACTAGAAATGAGTAAGCGAATTAATGCGTGAACTATTTAGCAAGCTAGAGCCTGACATTGCGTGTTATAATTTACCTTTTTTGCCACCTGCAGCCATTACACCACCTGTTGCCCCATGCCTTAAAGGTGAAAACACACACAAAAAACCTTGAAAGTCAGCCTTCGTCGGGCTTGTCAAAACGCCAGTTAGTCTGTGAGTCAATCAGTCAATCAATCAATCAAGCCGGCCTGTTGACGGCTTCCTAATTGGATGGCCAAGAGCGGCAAGTTGGCCTTTAATCACTTAAGCGGCATCGATTGTGTGATAACTTTATTGAAAGTCGCCTAATCAAACTTTATTTTTCCAACACTCCGGATAGAATTTTCTTCACGCCTCTGTAAGTGCTAACGGCAAATGCTGTTGAATGCATTTTCATTCTAATTTTACCAAAAGGAGAAGCAAAGCTCACTGAGAGAATATACTATATACTTTACCTTTAGTGACCTCTCTTGATAGGTTTTGCTGTTTCCAAAGTTATTTAGGCCAAGTTTGATTGACATTAAAGCCTTGGGGCGTTAGCAGGTGAATATGATATGGGTCCTTTTGACTGGGGAATATATATTTAAGTCTTGAGTCAGAATTAAATTTTCTAGAGATAACTGAAAACTCCTTTAAATTCCTTTAAATTCCTTTAAATTCCTGAAAACTACTCTGTGAATTCCTGGCAACTCTTGTGAGTTGTGTAGAATTTAAAAATTAGAATTTAGAATTTCTCTTAGTGTCCCTTTTCCGACATTCAAATGATGGCCCCATCAACACTTGGCTCTTGGCTCGGCATCGTCCTGTCGTTGGCATTGTTGTTGTTGATGTTGGTTCTTTGATGAGCTTAGGAGGATGTTCGCATCCACATCCACATCCACATCCACATCCGCATCCGCCGCTCTGAAAGCTGCTAAAGCTTGTTTCGAGCAGCAACTAACGGTGAACGCTAACGGGGTAATCGCCGGTAATGTTCGCTCAAGGCTTAGGCCACCTCTTCTGTGCTCGCTCTGCTCCTGGCTCCTGATCCTGGTTGTGGTCCTGCTCCTGCTCCTGCTTCCTCTGCAGTTCCACATCCATTTTTGCATTTTTTGGTCCTCCTTTTTATTTTACCACGCTTTTGCTCTACACTTTGCCACGCCACGCATTTTGCACGCAGAAACACCAGCTGAAACACTGAGAGAAAAATAGGGGTTTAAAAACAGGGGTATGAACTTTAATTTAAAAATAACTGTATATATAACATTGTATAAATCAGATCTTATTAACTTTAATTTCTTGGAATTTGTAGTGCTTTCTAACTATTTAGAACTAGTATCTTTTACTTTAGTTAATATTTAACAGACAGTTTAACTGACAGTTAAAAATAGTAGCATTTTGTACATGAACATTGCATTTCAATTACATATTCATTGCACATTAATTCAAAAAATAGTAAACGTTCTTATTTGAACATGAAGTAAAATATAATAATATATATATATGTTATTAACTTTAATTTCTTGGAATTAAGAGCTAGTTTATCTAACTTTATAAGACATTTAACAGACAGTTTAACTGCCAGTTTAAAAAAAGTATCATTTTGTATATTGTCATTTGCATTTCAATTACATATTCATTCGTTTCACTTAACAAAAACAGTAAACGTTCTTATTTAAACCTAAACTTAAATATAACTTTATATATATGTTATAAACTTTAATTTCTTGGAATTTGTAGTGCTTTTTATCATTCTATCATTTAGAGCTACTTTAGCTAACTTTAGTAAACATTTAAAAAAATAGTAGCATTTTGTACATTGTCATATAATTTACAGTAAACTGTAAAAAATTTTACCATTTAAACGTTAACTTGCTTGCAATAACTCGCTTAATAACTGAACTTTTGTTCTGAAAAACAAGAACATTTTATAACTTGAAACTTTATTTTAAATTTACAGAAAACCCCGTCTTTCCTTAACCTTTCCTGGCAGTTAAGTAAGAAGTACCTTAACCGAGCGTTAAGCAACTGGATCAAATGTCTCTAACTTTTTTTATTGCAAAAACTTAACATTTAATAAAGAAAGATACATACCTTAAAATAAATTGTGCAATGTTGTTTAAATTTCATTTATTAACTTTTAAAATTTATTGAACGAATTAACTGAACTTTATAAATTTGTTTCGTGAAATAATTCATGATTAATACTTAAATAATCCTTGTTAAAAAATAGTGATCATTTAAAGTTACTTGATTTGAACAGCACATTTTGTGCACTTAAATTGAATTTGAAATTTATAAAATCAAAATACATCATTTAGAAATTTTACTTATCCTGCAAGTTAATTGGCAGTTAACTAACAGGAACCTAAACTGAACATTATGAAGTTTATCAAAATAAAATGAATATAAATAAGATAAAACGTCTTTTAATGAGGAAGAAAAATTCCTTTCTTGATTTAAATAAATATATTACTAAAAATATTATAATAAATACGAAATCTTTTATATTTTGTATATATTAAAATTAGAAATGTGTAAGAAAATACTTTTTCTCTCTGTGTAAAAAAACGAGCGAGTAAGCTTGAACCAGAACGAGAAAGCGTGTGCTGCCACAGAGCTAAGCCATGCCACATGCTAAATCCTTTGTTCCTTTAATTTGTTATTGTATTGGCGTGCCAAATACCGCTATCTCCGCCTCCGTGTCCGCCTCTGTGTCCGCTTCGGAATCCTGCCTTCTGCCTTGTGCCTCCTGGCTCATCCTGCCTTCTGCCTTGTGCCTCCTGGCTCATCCTGCTGCCTCCCGGCTTGTGCCTCATCTCCCACCATTTTTTTTTTTTGGTGGCCACTCAAATTTAAGCGCTGTTGTTGTCGTGCGTCCAACCACATGAGGCATTCCACATGAGGCCATTCCTGGCCCTGGTCCTGGTCCTCCTCTGTCCTCTGCTGCCACGCATCCGTGCCGCTAGAACAAGAAACTGTGAAATTTTTTAGGGCCACCGAAAAACAAAAGGCATGCCCAGACCAACAACAACAACAACAGTAATAATAACAAAAGCAAGTACAACCATGACGGACACAAAAAAAAATAACAGAAACGGCAGCCGGAAAAGCTACACATATTTACATATATATACATGTGTATGTATGTGTATAGCGGCGCAAACAGGCGACAAAAGTGTCAATTTCTGGAAGGATACGTCACATTAAAACTAAGAGATAAAGATCAGGGAATGCTCGAACAGAAGGGACGAAGCAAGACGAAGTTATACGAAGCTTGCCGAAGTCTGACAAAGACCGTAGTTTAACTGTACTCTTCAATAAAGTAAAGTTTATATAGTTATAGAACTGTTTCTTATGGGAAAGTTAATTAAAAGGTCTTTATTATACCTAAAAAGGCCTCAGAATGAAATATTTAAACCAAAAATCATAAATATAATAAATAAAATAAATATAATAAATATAATAAATATAATAATATAATAAAGATAAAAAATATATAAATATACTAATTATAATGATATAATAAATATTATAAATAATATAATGAATGTATTAAATTAAATATATAAAATAAAATATATAAAATAAACATCATAAATACTTATTATATAAAATCTAAATTTTTTATACCCTTCCATTTTGTAAAAAAATTAAATTTATTGATATTTTTATATTACATGTTTTTTTTTCAAGAAATCGAAGTTCGAAAATCTCATAACTAAGCCAAAAATTTATTAATTTTCATTCTGGAAGCTGTCCCATGTTAGTTTTTATTACGTTAATAAATCTGCATACTTAATTTAAAATTTTATAAAATTTAATTTTTTCAATTTTTTCTTGACAATTTTAACAATGTTACCCATTAAAAAATGTCGAAAAAAATTTAAATTTTTTTTTACTGCCTGAGATAGCTAGATTGATCCGCCTGTTGATGCTGATTAAGAATATATATGATTTATAGGGTGGGAAATGACTATTTCACATTGTTTTAAGTTTTTGAATAAAATCATAGGGTATTCAAATTATTACAATTAATATTTGTTATGAAAACCTATACACTTTCCTTTCAAGCCAAAGCCAAGCCTTAAGGCTTCTTTTCATTTTCCCCCCTCAGGAACGAATGAAATTCATGGGTTTCCCATATAATCTTTCAGCGTCTAGCTAAACATTTTCCTAATATTCCATATTAAGATTTAAATTTGTTTTCTATACCCTAGAGATTTTCCCTTTTTTATTTTTTTGCAAGGGCTTCCGGAAACTTTTGTGGGTTGTGTGTGAGTGAGTAAGAGAGAGTTTTGTGTTACCGCTGCGTCTGCATGTTTATCAGCTCATCTCTAATGAAACGTTATGTTATGGGGCCTGCATCCCCTTCTTACCACTGTGTGGGTGGGGGGAGGAGGGGGAGGAGGGGATGTGGGGATGTGGGTGTAGGAGGAAAAACTTTTTCCACCCGAAAATGCGTTGTTGATGGCAGGCAGCAGCTGACGACGTTGCGCCGCCATTGCCGCAGCCGTTAACCGCCTCCACGCAACGCACATTTGCCGAGCTCTGAGCTTCATTAGATGCGCAAATGAACAGTGGAGCCTAGGCCAAGGACACTGTGAAAAATAGGGGACTAATTAGGGAAAATAATAGTACAAATTTAAAAGGTTTAATTTGCATTTAAATGCTTGAAAAGATTTGATTTGGGAATGAGATATTAAAGGTCTTTTAGGTTCCTCTTTTAGGATTTATATTTCTTGGGGTGTATAAAAATTGATTGATTAATTAAGTTAAAAATATTACATTTAATACTAAAATGTTTATTACTATTTAAATGCTTGAAAATATTTGATTTGTTATATAAGACATTTAAGACCTTTTAGGTTCTTCTTTTCATATTTATGTATTTTAGGGTGTATCAAATTTTAAAATCTCTAAAAATAAGGCATTTATGTTAATATTAAAATGTCGATATTTAAAAAATATCGATATTTATCGACATTTTTATATGGCAAGATCGAACTTTGAATGCAAAAAATATTTTAATTCTGTAATATTATATAATTGACTTTTGTGAACATTCTTTTAAGATTTATATTAAGTTATGTTTTCTCAAATTTTCAATTCTCTTAAAATATTGGATTTCATATAAAAATTACGATATTATAATTATATATTGATTCTTATCGATATTTTTATACATATCACAAACTCAAAGTCTAAAGGCAAAAAAGGCATAATTTTTATTCGGTAATATATATATATATTATTGACTTTTGTAAACCTTCTTTTAAGATTTATTTATAGTTGGGCTTTTTTTAAAATTTAAAATCTCTAAATATTTTGCATTTAATATTAAAATGTCTATTTTATAGATTTCTTCGATATTTATTGACATTTTTATATGACAAACTCAAAGTTTAAAGGCAAAGGAACATAATTTTTATTGAGAACCTTTTAGGATTTATATTTAGTTGAGCTTTTTTAAATTTTAAAATCTCTAAAAATATTGAATTTAATATTGAAACGTTTATATTATAGATAGATACAGATATAGACAAACTCAATGTTTAAAGACAAAAACATTAGTTTTAATTTGGTAATATAAATCTTATTAACTTTTGTAAACCACCTTTTAGGATTTATATTTAGTTAAGCTTTTAGCAAATTTTAAAATCTCTAAAAATATTGCATTTAATAATAAAATTTCGATATTATAATAATTTATTCATATTTATCGACATTTTTATGTGACAAACTCAAAGTTTAAATGCAAAAAACATTAATTTAAATTCGGCTATATATATATTATGGACTCTTGTGAACCTTCTTTTAGAATTTATATTTTTTTGGGATTTATATATTTTTCCCCACTTTCATTTCTCTCCGTGTCCTTGTGAACTTTAGCAGCTGGGTCTGCTTCCCTCATCCTGTGAGTTCTTAACCCCTTGACCAACCTTAACCCTTAACCGGGGGTACCATCTCCCATTTCCCTGTCTGACAGCGACAGCATTTGGTGTTTGGTGGCTTAGCGCTTTGTTTTTGTTGCAAGTTCCCCTCACTCACTAAAACAAAAACAAAAAAAAAAACCCCGAAAAGTGGGTGGTATTTTTTCGGGTGAGAGAGAAAGGGGAATCCCCGGTCCGGCTGCCACAACATAACAGCCAGGAGGGGGAGACGCCTCCGGGAGTTGGTGGCAAGGAAGGATCTGCTGTGGAGTTGGGTTCGCTTGGATGGGTCAGGTTGCGTAGGCTTAAAAACAAAACTCTGGTCACAGGGACCGACCGCCCCCCCTTCTGCCACGCCCATGAGACAGAGTCCTGCTTTAAGCCTGCCCCTCCCCACCCCCCCTTGTAACTCTGTGGTATTTTTGCAATCCGGCTTACTTAAACGATTTTTCGCTTCTTTGAATGTTTTAAACAAGTGCATCAAAGTTTTAGCCACGCCTGATTTGTTTTTTAGCCCCCCACCCCACCCAAAACACTTTTTAACCCATCCACTTTCACATACTTTTAGACCAAGTTTAACCCACTTTCCCTTTTTTTTACATATATACATATGTATGTATATCCTGTTTTTTTGGGGAGGTTGGAAAACTGGAAAGAGAATTGCCCTTCTCTGGCAGTTAATTGCTGCAGTTTTAGTTTTGGTTTTTGGTGCTGTCGCCGTTGGGGCTTTTGTGTAAATGTTCTTGCCACATTCCGCACACACACACACACTTACACCTACACCTACACCTCTACCTCATACACATGCACTTGACACTTTCATGTGTGCGTGGGTCTCCTTTTTTTTTTCTGAAAATGTGTTTTAAAAGTTAAGCTCTCAATGCTTTTGCCCAAAATGGAAAACAAATATGCACACACACACACACACACACACACACACACACACACACACACACACACACACACACACACACACACACAAATAAAACAATCAGCAAAAGGTAAACGAACAGGTGGAAAGACGTTAGATAATAGATACAATCAGCAAGAGACTTTGGTATGTTTTAAGATTTAAGATATAATAACCTAATGAATGGGAATACACTAGGAATTGTTTATATATAGGAGAGATTGAGATTAGAAGAAAGA